TCCTCCACGTATCCTAGCAAAGTTGTTTACAAATACCCAAATGACGTCACTACTGTATCCCTGCCTGACACCAGTGTGACCACTTTCGCCAACACAGTTACGATTGATGTGACGAAATGACCAATTCGTCAAATTATGAGTCTCCGGGCTCGCCAATGAGCAGTCCCTCTTCAAAGGCTTACGTTGGCTGTTGGTCATGGTCAATACGCACCTCTAATGCCACTAAGCAACTGCGTATTACAACGATCATTTAAATACCTGGAATCATAATATTAATAGAGAACGAAACTGAATGACGAGGCTACATTACATAAGAATCTTAACAGCAGAACGTGCTTCATGTTATTTACGGCCTCATTGTTTTTTCCTGTGTTCGCCTAAATCACTCATCTGCTGGCGTCTGTTGCGGTACTCACCCGTCTGTGCCTGCACACATATAATAGGATGGCTGCCTCTGTTACTCTTCCATCACCACACACATACGATAGGATGGCTGCCTCTGTTACCCTTCCACCACCACACACACACACGATAGGATGGCTGCCTCTGTTACCCTTCCATCACCACACACACGATAGGATGGCTGCCTCTGTTACCCTTCCATCACCACACACACGATAGGATGGCTGCCTCTGTTACCCTTCCATCACCACACACATACGATAGGATGGCTGCCTCTGTTACCCTTCCACCACCACACACACACACACGATAGGATGGCTGCCTCTGTTACCCTTCCACCACCACACAAACCACAGGATGGGTATAGTGTGCAAATATATACAACGTCACGGCATTAGCTTATACAAGTTCTACTTCAAATTGACTTAAAATAAATTATATAATTAACATCCTCCTAATTTTTGTGACATAAATTGTGCCAATATATGTTTCACCGCTCTAATGGTGAACCTCACTTTCACCTTATAAATTGTAAGCCATTTTATTCCTAAAATGTCATAAATTTTATTCCTAAAATAAAGTTTGATTTAGACTGTTATACACCTGTTTAGTCCTGCCAATACTGTAATGATTTCTATAAACTGTTACGACTTAAGCTTCTGATTCTGATAATGACAATGTCTACCTGCTATGCTGTTGTTATGACTCACTTATGTAATTAATGTACTGTAATTTTGTGTGTACTGTAATTTCCCAATTATAAATGAACAATCGTTTATGAATAAAATGTTGTATTTTATTTATTACATGTGGGGGGGGTGGGGGGGGATGGTGGTCTCCCCTCCCCAGCACAATGTGGAGTCAACTAGCTAGAGCAGCACAAGCCCCCAAATGGTCGACCACTCCCACAGTTCGCATGGCAGTTACTCATTTGTGTACACGTGGAAATCTTGTTCCAGTTAACGGTCATCGAATCAGCTCCTAGGCCCCGCCTTTCCAACTGTCTGTCGTCTAATGCAATGACTTTCAACCCCCCACCCCTCAATAAATGAGGGGCGGGGGGTTGAAATAGCCTAAGCTACTCTATCCCCTAGGGATGTATTTTTGTCTTGTCTCAATAAACATACTTGAACTTGAACTCATTTATTGTCATATTAGTTTGCTTATTGATGGAGGTGGCTTCTGTTTTTTTCACCGAATTCGTTCCACTTGCTTACTGTTCTTATGGTGAAGAAGTGTTTCCTCACATTCCTCAGGCTCATCTACTCTAAGTGTCTAGCTTATATGCCGGTCCTTTCGTTAAAATGCTTCTCAACCTAAACATTCTGCCGTATTATAGGTTTAATTGCTACCTCTGAATATTTTGTACGACTAGGGCATGTCAACTCTATTCCTCTATCCTTCTTGTGTCATTAGGTTCAGCTCCTTCAATCTGTCCCAGTAGCTCAATTTTCTCAATGCTTGGAGTAGTCTTGTAGCAACCAGTGTACTTTTTCAGCCTTTGTTTAGTTTGGACGGGAGACTCGACGCTAGGGCTGCCCCGTTCCTGGAAGGCTGCCCTCGTGCTGCTCACGTGACTATGTGTACCACCATAGATACTCACCTATTTGTACTTGTGGGGGGTTGAGCTTTGGCTCTTTGGTCCCGCCTCTCAACTGTCAATCAACTGGTGTACAGGTTCCTGAGCCTATTGGGCTCTATCATATCTACACTTGAAACTGTGTATGGAGTCAGCCTCCACCACATCACTGCCTAATGCATTTCATGGGTTCAGTGTTGTGTCTACTCCCAGAACCTCTTCTCTCACTACCCAGCACAAGTTCCTCTCTTTCATTATATATTGTTCCACTGCTCTACTTTCGCTTGCGACTCATTACTTTGCATTTATTTAGATTGAAGTCTAGTAACCATTTATATACCAGAGGTGGCCAAACCGAGGCTCTAAAGAATGATGAGCCTTTAATATGAGCCTCGTGAAAAATTATAGAGAATTCGAATATTCTAAAAATTTCGGCCAGAACCCAGATCAAGAAACGAGCGGCTCTATAAAGAGTTGGAATACTAGGGAAAGGGTTACGGGCTATTCACGCCCGTGCCACCTCTTGGGTGGCTTAACCTTCATCAATCAGTGCAGACCAAGCTGGTATACTTCTTATATAAATCTTATTTAAAGCGTCTGTGAGAACTTTGTGAAGAAAGATGGCTTCAACAAATTATAAGTAGGGGAAGGGAACTATCAGGGGAAAGCGAAGCCATTACGACAATATAGCACTTGGAATGGGGTTAGGATCAGGATTTAGGATGGGATGGGGGAAGGGATAGTGCCCAACCCTTTGGATGGTCAAGGATTGAACGCCGACCTGCATATAGCGAGACCGTCGCTCTTCCGTCCACCCCGAGTGGCAGGTAACGAAAATATGAAGCTGAAAACAAATTGTCAGCCAGAGTGGGAGTACGAGTAAGGATTCCCAATTAAATGAGGTAAACCTCTGAGCCTTATCTGCCAAGTGCCAATCACTCATTACAAAGCCAGTAACTTGAAACACCACTATGAAACTAATCACAACAAAAAACTTTTCATATGATTACCTACCTAAATCAGACAAAGAAAAACTAGGCTAAATGAGCTAAAAATCATCAATAAATAGCCAGAAGACGTTGTTGACATTATCCAGTATAGAAGCCGCGGCTCCCAAACATATAAGCTTTATCATTTGTAACTCTTACACTAACCAAGTTTGGCCGCCCCTCATTTATTTATTTATTTATTTATCTATTTATTTATGCATATACAAGAAGGTACATTGGGATTGTGAGGATACATAATATGGTAATTACAATCTTGTAAAGCCACTAGTACGCGCAGCGTTTCGGGCAGAAACGCTGCCCGATCATCTATAACACTCGATCACCTATAACGCCCGATCATCTATAACGCTCGATCATCTATCATAGAGCCATTTCATCTATACAATCATGTTTACAAATCGTCTGTTTTTTTCCCTGGAGCCTTCTGCTGTCCTCACTGTTTATCCTCGTCAACTTAGCGTCAACGGCAGGGTCACAAAATATTGTATAGCTACATCAGCCATATTAATTAATTACCACCAGTCTTCGGTGATGCACTGAAAACTATCGCAAGTAGTTTGCAAGGGAGTTCAGCCTCTTTCACGATACACTGATGCAGTTCTAAATGCGACATTAGACGGACATTTATCATGCGTTCCATTGATTTTAAGTCAAACTTGGACGTGGACGACATGCGGTTATCTATCCCCCCCAAAACACTCTACATTATACTGCTCCCTACAACATGATGACACGGGAATGATGTTGATTACACAGAAATGATGACACAAGAATGATGTTGACACAGGAATGATGATGACACGGGAATAATGATGATTACACACGAATGATCGCACAGGAATTATGATTGGACATAAATGATGATTACACAGTTTTGATGATGATAATTACACTGTTTTTATGACAAATTTTATGATGAGAAAGGAATAATGAAGACAAACGAATGATGATTACACATGAATGATGATTGCACGAGAATGATGATTGCACATGAACGATTATACAGGAATAATGATTACATAGGAATAATGATTACATAGGAATGATTACACAGGAATGATTACATAGGAACAATGATTACTCAGAACTGTGATAATTATGCAGAAATGAGGATGACACAAGAATTGGGATAATTACACATTAATTTTTAATAATTACACAGGAATTGTGAATGGAATGGTATGATCAGGAGAAAGCGCCAAGCCATTACGACTATATAGCACTGGGAAGGGATCAGGATAAGGATTTGTGATGGGACGGGGGAGGAGGAATGGTGGCCAACCACTTGGACGGTCGGGGATTGAACGCCGGCCTGCATGAAGCGAAACCGTCGCTCTACCGTCCACCTCAAGTGGTTGGGCACATGAATTGTTGGTATGTACATTGGTATGTACTATGGTCCTCATCCTTCCTAAAAGTACTATCAAAATAAGAGAATGGGCTGAATAATTACACAGGAATAAGAATGACAAGGGGCATGATGATGATGATGATGACAGGAATGATGATAATGACTCAGGAAGGATGACGCAGGACTGACGATGACACAAGAATGATGATAATAGTTAGCATGATTTATTTCAAATGCGTAGTACTAAAATAATACTAAAATGTTTAAAATATTAAAAAAAATATTAATACTGAACGAGTAATATTAATTATTTTTCACTACAGTGATGTATTATTAATTATTAATTTTAAATAAAATTAAAACATTAAATAATCGTAATACAATTACATTACTAAATAGTAAATAAATTTGTTTTTATCACTAAATATTTTAAATATACCGAGCATTCTAGGCAGGGTTGTCAGCTTCTCTGACAATTAGTCTTCGACTATTTGTATTTACAAATAATATAAGCAACTAGCACTGAATTGCTTCAGAATATTTAATTAAATCATTTAAACAGTACAATACAAGATCAATATGGTACATGATAATAAAGAATCATTTAAATACGGAATCTTCAATAATAATAAAGAAGAGGTGTAGGAGGCATAGTTACCAGTGGTGTAGGATACAGCGGCTGTAGCCTCCATGAGGGGGTAGTGGGGCTCGGAGGGGGGTGTGGTGGGGGAGACGAGGGTGGAGGTGGTGTCAGAGCTGGTCAGCTTGAGGGTCAGGTCACAGCCCCCTCCACCCCCACCATTCACCACCTTCTCCATCTCCCTGTAACCGGTTGATGCGATTTATCCCAAGAGAGGAGAGCAGAGATCTCCGGATGCTGCTTGAGTCTATATATCCAGCTCTAGCTTAGGCTTATCGTTATCTTTGGATGAATTGGCTTCTTAATATATATATAAATACTATATATAGGTAATATATATCTATATACCGCCGGTTTAGAAGGATTTAGAAGGTCTAATATTTGTATTTTCCTTATGGCGTTATTGATTGTTTACATCTGGCCGTCAGCTGTGGTGACGTAACCAGGCCGGACTAATCACTAAGGTACGTTATTAGTGATAAACTGTGTCTCGGTGCACCACGTGCTGCCAACCACACTTGTTTGTCTGGCTGATTACCCTTTCTTGCTTAACTCATTAAAACTAATTAACAATGACACAATCTACTGAACTCCCTATCCAATGTGCTTGTCCCAGCAATCGTTATCGCGAACAAGTAGCCCCAGGATACCTCACTGGCGACTGCATCTTTGAGGAGAGGCGGAAATTCACAGGAAAATAGAATATAGGAGGAGGAGATGGCGTCCGTCACAGAGGAGAGAGGGAGAGAGCGCGGACACACCACCTTCCCTCACTACGGTTACTCAGCCACTGGCTGCTGCTCCTGCTGGCTGCCGACCCCAGCCTCCTGTGTCGTACACACTCCACTTACCCAAATTTGTTTGCAGAGTCGAAAGTTAGCTCCTGGGCCCCACCTTTCCAGTTGTCGGTTAACTAACGGGGGGGAGGGGGCCTCCTGACAGTATATTATCAATATATTATTGAATTAAGATTCTATTCCATTTCCATTTACTCCATTAATAAATAAGTTTGTCTTCGGATGATAGTGTTCTTAATCTACGGTAATATAATTACACAGTTTTCGTAGTACTAATGATAACGATGAGGACCGTAGTTTATATACCGACGTACAACGAAATTAAAAAGTAGAAATCGGCATATTGAGTTGGACAAACCGGAAAACTATTTTCTTCCCGTTGCAAAGACAAACTAAACTAATCTCCCTAGGCCTAATACACGACAGCTGAGGCCTAATATAGTACATATGTGTGCTACACTAGGCTTTGGAATATTTTAGTTTGTATTTTAGCTTATTTTTTTTCAGACTATAAAGTAAATAGTACAATGTTCTAATTGCTTAGAACGGCAATCTTTGTACTATGATGCACATAGTTGTAAAAACTACTATATAAACAGGAGAATGGGTTGAATTATACCACTACCATGTTTATTAATCACAAATTTGAGGCAATTAAAACTAGTACAAAACTAGTTTGTGTGGGAAACGCTATGCGTGCTGGTAGGGCTTGCAAGGAAGTACTACTCAACCGCCAACATGTGTACTTTAACAATCCACTGTATCTTGTATATGAATAAATAAAAATAATAAAATTATGTTAATACCTGATTAACATTAATTAAATCCTGAATCCATTTTGTAACTAACCGTCATGTTAATTAATTCATTAAGTTAAATTAAGGAAAACTGTGAGCAGACTGTTTATGTAACCAGCTGATCAATGCTGTAGCTTGCTTAGTTAAACAAATATTGGGGTTCAGTTTCTGAGGCCATTAATGCCTCTAACCTTTACCATTACCACACAGGATGGGAGTGGGGGTGCATAATTGGAACGTTTTAGGGTCGCTGCATACCAGATATGACAGGACACATCTCGTAATATTTGTTTTAATACTGAACAGTTTCAAATATATTGATCCAGGCCACTTCCTTCAAGGGTCAGATGTGACACGAACAAGCAACAACGGCTTAAAAGTTCAACAAGCCACAATGAATGACAGAAAACATGATTTTTCATTAATAGGGTTATAAGCCGCCTACCCGCCGAAGCCGTAAACGCCAAAACTCTGCTGGGTTTTAAAATACAGCTGGAAAAAAATTTATCAGGGCAAATGGGGAGGGGGGGAGCATTTGACAAGCCGCCGGTTTTCTGGCCTCATCGAGGCCACCCTCAGGTAAACCAATGGAATTCCCAACCCGTCGAAGTCGCAAATGCCAAAACATTGCTGTAATTCAAAACCCAGCTGGATAAAATCATCAGGACAAATGGGTTACCCATTGATAAGCCACCGGCTTACCCTCGAGGCCATTAGTGAAATGGGAGCGCTCAGGTATATTCAGGTTATAATACATATATAGTACTATGCAGAGTTCCTTCTAATCTGATATCTCCTTAGCGGGAATTTTCAGCAATTATCGGGAACCTTAGCGATTCCAGAGAATCTTGTATAATGTTATCATGTCTCCTCCATTCTATATTAGGTGTAAATTAAGTTTCAGGTCCTTCGGGATCTCTTCTAGTCTGGCATGATGCTTATGTGAGCGCTCCCTGGTGATATAAACTCAAGGGTCGTCGCTGTTTCTGGATTTTTTTCATTGCATCCAGTTCAATGGGTCTACCTCCCTCCCCATTCATCATTATCTTGTATTTATTAAGAGTTAAATGTCCAGAAGTAACTTTTTCGACCACTCCTAAAGGTTATCCAGGTAGCTTGCAACTTTTTGTAATCGTCACAGATTCGTTGATTTTGCAGTCCGCAAAGCTTCCATTCAAGTGAAAGAACGTGTCAAGAATAGGTTGGGCCTTAGTGCTAACCCTTGTTGTACTCACTGTAACATAACTATCTTCGCCGTAACTGTTTCCAGTCATAGATGTACACCAATTCAACTTTGCACCATTCGTTAACAATGCTTCTACGTTGTGCATAGCAGTCTCCCGTGTGGAACTATCAAATGCCTTCCGACAAACCAGGAAGTCATTATCTGCCTATCCTTTCCCTTCCTGCTTGATCACCGTTGCCTTTTCGTAATACTAAGTTGGTTTGTTAAGCAGAGCTTTGTCTACTTTGCACCCATATTGCCGTTTGGATACTAGTTTGTAACCTCCCAAGATTCACTAAAACAAAACCAAAAATTATTTCTAACGAACAAATTCACAAGGGATGATTTGTTGATTTAAAGCATCACGCTATTGTGATTGTGTATTGAAGTAAGGGCGAAGAGGTTGATAGCCCGGTGCATGGGGGAATTGTGTAAAACTCCGGTTTGTGCTTCGAAGCTGCGGGAGCCGTATGAGGGGAGTAGTACTTCAGCTTGCAATTCTTGCTAACCATGTCGAGCAGTCCACTAAGGCGCGTCTGGGATGATCCCAGCCCTTGTGGATTTGTTAATATGATGCATCACATTATTGTAATTTGTGTGTATTGTTTCTAACATTTTATAGAAAATTCAAGATTTAGGGGATATTGCTTCATAATTGGTGCACGTCAGTCTTTAAGCTTGGTTAAATCAGTCTAGCACATCAACAGTCTCCTTCAGGATCCATATGAAGTGTTATTTGGCAGTTTGTTTTCCAGCTGCTCCGCTGTCATGGCTGAAATTATATTGGTTTGCTGTACTGTAGTTAGTGGTAACTTACCTTGAGGTGCTTCCGGGGCTTAGCGTCCCGGTCGTCGACCAGGCCTCGGTAGATGCAAGTCTTTGAAGTTTTTGTTAAAACAATTTTTTGTAGTTTTATTTACCAGTTTTCCTTCGGATGTTGCTATGAATATTTCGGTAATCTTAGAAAGCCCCGATAGTATTTTAACACGCCATAGTTAGCATGAGAGCAAAAGGTAGAAAACGTTGCAGCGTACCCTAGCCTTGTAAGGCAATGCATGAATAAGTTGCACTGGAAGCTTTGGACAACCCTCAATGTTGTGTTTAGTTCCTAAATTAACATTCACTCCAGAGGCTGCAGGATCCAAGTAAATTCAGTAGAATTTCTGGTTGCAATTTTTACCATGTAGTAGCTCAGTCGATTAAGGTAGCGTTTGGGATGCTCTTGGACGTAGGCTCGATTCCTCGTCACAGCCCTTGTGGATTTGTTCATTTGATACATCACGCTATTGTGATTTGTGTGTAACGCTCATATGTGATCAGCGCTCTCACCCCGCATATTTAGATCTTGGCCCGTTAATGCAATTGTTAAAAACTTGTTCGTCATATTCAGCTCGCCTCGACATTTATTTAATTCCCTGGAAACTCGTACCCAACAGTCACTGTCCTTCCGCCACTCCTGATCCCAGTTTATTCTGAACACTACCATATCTAGTCTCTTTAAAATTAGTTTAGCGATCATTTGTCTTATTGCATAAAACAATTTTTTCTATTATGTACTTTATTACTGTGCATAAATATTCAACATTTATCTGCTGTATTAGTTACAAATGATGAAATGGCGCCTAGCCGGGGTGACAATGTAACACCATTAAATGGCAGGTTAATGAAAAAGGAGCTAAATATCACTAAGGATGTGAGCATTAAAGGCATTGATTCGCCAAGAAGTCCAGCGAAACAGGGATGAGGTAGCTCACGCCATTCTCGACCAGGTTCAATTTAGGAAAAACATGGCCGGGGAGACTATTTAGCACCATATTCACGATATTCAAGTGCCAATATCACTGAAGGCTGTCAATACTAGAACGAAAGCGCCTAGGGCGAACGATATCAAAGGTGCACAACCGTAAGCACACAGGACAGTAGGGAGCAGGCATGCGCTAATTTAAATGCCAGTTTAACGTGTATGACCAATACGTAACCTCGCCAGAGCCGGTTAGTGGAATAAAAACCATGGGGGACAATCAACCCTTAAGTGCACGCAGTTTGTTACAAACGTGCGCAGGTAGAAATCTGAACAAGGTACCCCTTTTCTGGGGAGGGAAAGTAAGCCGGGAAAACACGAGCATCGTCTGTTTTAAGAGAACATGGCAGCAATATCTATGGATTATAGTGGCAGGAAAGCAAGGCATACACCTGCTCTCAAAATTGAGACATTCCACAAATGTGTATATGACTAAGTAGAACAATGACGTGACAAGCAGCAGTGTTCCATTAAGTGCCCGGCACGAGGCGAGGGTGGGGCTAGTTTCCAACAATATTTATTAGTGATTAGATGAAGGTCAAGGGAATGGGTCACCTCCAAAAGTGGTTAGGTTTGTTACATGTAATGCCAATTATCAAAAGAAGGCACCAAGCCGGGAAGGCTATGTAGCACCACCAAACGTTGCGTCAAATTATGAATGACGTCCTTCGGTAAAAACAAACTTGGTTGTATTAAGCTATGGATATATGCTGGAACCAATTTCACACGAGCAAGAAATGAAAGGATTAGCAGTCCCACCTCAAGAGTGGAAAGCCAGGAATGTTCATTGGAGGTTAGGACTTTACCATGCTGAAGTCAATGTAAATCATAATAGATGCAAGCCAAATTACCTGCCAACTTGTACCATTAGTTTTTTAACATTACCAAATCTATGCAGCACATCCTTATTAAAAAAATGTTGCTAGAGAATCAAACACACTTATCCAAAACCACTTTTACTAGTAGCAATGTTTTCATTTATAAACACCCTGATGAATATCGCTCCCTCATTTTTAAATTAAAGCACTTCCAGTATGGTCTACACTTCTAAGTAAAAATTTTGAAAAGATGCTGATAGGCACAATCTTCAAAAACCTACAACATAATTTAAGCCAAAGTACCAGAATATGCTATCTTTAGAGATTTTCTTTCACCCAGGGGAATGCAGACTTCACTTTACCACCTCTGCTGTTTATTAGATTTCCAATAAATGCTTAGATCACTACAGTAGTGCTAGCAATCTAAATGAATTGTGCCTCTAAGAAATTTATACATATATAAATATACAATATAACATGCATACCATATACACATTATATACATATTATATACATTTATATATATATATTGACCTCAGCTCAATAAAAGGCTTTTAGATATATATACGCACCAATCAATGATAACACCAAAAAAAGTTGTAAGGTTTGATACCACGCAATGCTTGCTTTTAATTTATTTCTCCTGTAATTAGTCTCGGCCCAATACAAAAGCTACCAATATTTCTCCCTTACAAAAAAACTATAACTTGCTACCAGTTTTCCTTATAAAATTTCTTTAAAAGATAAATGTCAATTATGATTTACTACATTTGCATTCACGACCACAACTGACCAGCCCACTTACAAAAAAAAAATATAAAAAATAAACAAAGGTAAATATTCATAAAAATAACCACCAAATAATCCTTAAAACACAATGTGACCGTACAACACGTGCCTCACATACTGATGGGAAATTCTTATACTAAAATAAACCTTTATACGCCTTTCTTGGGAAATCAGGTACAGCATCAAGAGGAGTGTTCTAGCAAGATATCAACTGTTTCTTTCCAGCACTTTGCAGTAAACCCACAAACAGTATTTAGAAGCATTTTACAAAGGAAACTATTCTCTATATATTAGCAGAAAAGTAACATTTAAAACATTAACTGTACTGGACACCCAAAGCAGTACGCTAAACTTTCAACATTCCCGATTTGGAGTTCTATAATATCGGTCCATTCGCTTAAATACAATACTTTTAAAAGAGGTATGGATCACTAGATGAACCTCAGGATACCCAGTACATCATTTAAAATTAAACAAGTTACAAAGGGGATATTCTTCACAAAGCTTAGGGGAGTAGCAAGAAGATAAGTAAAACGTGAAAAAAATTTATAATGTAGCATTTATAATGAAACTCAAAATACACCCTAAAAAAGATTATGACAAAAAATACAATTTCATCTCAAATGTAGAAAAAAAAAAAAACACCTGGAAATCTTCCGCCTATTGTACCCCTCTTACCTTAATGGTTTGTACCATACAGACAAGGGAAAGACAGTAAAGCATCTGGCAGTGAATATCGACCTATGTTTCCGCAATTTTGAATATGATGTACTGAAACTAAAGCAGAAACACTAGTTGATCATACATCACAAGCCATGTCCATAATAATGAAATGAGTAAGGACTGGCCAATATACTGGCCAAATATCACTATCATCATTATGAACTACAAATAAAGAGATATTTGATACCACTTGAGCAATCCCCACAATGATAAATCTCTCAAAATTTCACAATACTAGGTACAAAACAAATGCATTTCATAGTAATCCATAATAATTCCTCAACTCTTCTAATAAATATCCCGAGTGGTATTCCCGCTGCCGCCATAAGTTCTTCGTCTTGGTCCAGGGTGTTCTCTTAAAGGTGGGCTAGAGTGCACATCCTGGAAAAAGAAAACTGAAATTAAAAACCCATACCAGTTTAGATGAATAATGCAAGCAAGCAAAACCAAAGAGTGGGTGGATATCATCGCATTGGGATAAGCGATACCGAAGTAAAGGAAAATTATGGAATGTAATTAAAACTTTCTGGATGGGTTACAGTGGCTACCAACTGAAATGGCTCCACAAGTCATCAGTCCCACGAGTCCATAAATAGCCTACAGCACACCATAGGGAATGATCAGATCCAAAATTCGTGGACCTGAGGGTATCTGCAAGCTGGCCAAATTTAACGAGACTATGGGTAAACCAAAAAACTAGACGTTAGATCAAGGAACAAAGACAACTAATACACCTACTGAAGTAAACTGGATCATCCACTCGAGATGAACAGCCACATTAGAAAAATGACACTGTACATCTAGGAATAAAGGGAATACTAGAGAAATTGACCTGTAAAGAGGTAGATGCCTGATAAGTCTGTTCCCTAAATGTAGGCTCAGCTAGAATAGATCCAGTAAACACAAATGCCACAGGTGGAAGGCAGCATGCAGATAGAATGATCATAAGCATATAGCAAATGCTGACAGGGAATGAAGTCCTTCAAATGTAGCTACGATGAGTGGTTTTCTGCACGTATGCTCCAAACCTCGCAGGAATCAATGAACCCTTGCACAATTCAGGATGGGGCACAAGGAAGTAACCATCTCAGGGCAAAGGCAATATCAACTAGCATATTGGGCAGCCCTAAGCACATGCACATCAACAAAGCATTGAAGGTTGACGACACTGAACCCCATCTGCTCCTGTCGTTGACAATTTGTCTGTCGTTTCTAGGGGTTTACTACTGTACAATTACAATTGTACACCCAGTAAAATTACTTTGTGGGTCATTTGCATTGTCTAGTTTTGAAAATCTTGCCTTTGTCCATTGTGCTATACTATACGCCCTTTCTTATTTCTACTGGTGTGGATATTAAAAGCCCTTACTCACAGAGCCTCTGATGGGAGAAAAGGGGGCATGTTTCGGCCTCGCACCTATTGTAGTCTATTATTGGACTATTATGGTTGATGTGACATGCTCTTATCTACAGGGTGCCACCATTCAGTCCCTTCAGGAAGTTGACAAAAATATGAAATGCAAGGAATACTAAGCCAGTGGACGGATAAACAAATTCTTAACATTAGTGCACTAACAATAGATGTTGTAGAAAATATAAACCTTGAGACATTTAAGGAAAGGCTGCATGTGACTGGGAGGTGGAAACTGATCTCTAAAATATGGCATGGGGTGGGGGTGCTATTTTAGAAGCACAACATAAGGAGATATCAGGTACACCAGGTTCCAATATTAAATTCAATATTCAGAACACTATGTTGGCAGTGGGGTATATTCAACCAACAGTTTCAATGAGTAAATGAGTACCTATGATGCATTAGCATACCTCCCTGCTTAAGAAAAAAAAGTTACAATACTAACATTTTGGGGAAGAGCACTTGAAGCACTGATCACGTGAAGCGAAGTTATGGAACTGGCACTGTTGGCACTCCCAGTCTCCAGCACGCATACTGCCTCTACCACCGTCCATTCCTCCAGAGCGTCCACCTTCTGCAAGAAAAAGCAGCATAAAAAGTTAACTTCGGCAGATACCTATAAATTAAGGTTGAGAACTTCTTGGGTAGGAGTTTAAAAGTTTTTAAAAAAAAGTAAAACTTGCTCTAAATTGCATACAAATGAGACAAAGCTTTAATTAAAGTAATAAGGCTAGCAACCTGCCTAGCAGAATGGTCAAAAGGTGAAGAATGTATCCTTAGACTTGTGCAAAGCGTGAATGGAAGAAATGTTATGCATCAAGATGGGTACCTGCGCAGATGTGGACGATTCGTCGTTTGATATTCACAAAGCTATTTAAAGCTTTGGTTTAAACAACAGGTTTATATAATCAGTGAAGGGTGTAGAAAAAAATGCAATGGCAATGCTTCAATAGTATGAAATATCCTTACAAAGTTTATTTTTATTAACTTAATGATTGGAAAGTCACCAGTTTGTAAATATGTACCTTATAAATCAAGATATCCAATGTATATTGGCTCATGAAGCCATTTGAGCTAATAGTGAATGAACCAAAATGGTATAGTGAAAAAGTTGATTAACAGTAATAATTAAAAAAAAAAAAAGATGTACAAATTTAAGTGGCTGTGCTTATGAATGCATGAAAAATTATGCTAAAGTAGAAATAGCAGGATACAATATGGCACTTCATAACCCATTGACAACCTGACCATACTTCTGCAACTTTCCCCAACAAATGGCAAGTAGTCACAGTCTACAGCTGGCCCATACAGCCCAGCTGATCTAGTAAACTATTCAAGTTCCAGTGACATTTCACAAAACACATGATTGTGGCTTGAGCACATCTACATCACATCACCTGCACCATCTTGTTAATTACAAAAGTAATACTGCTGAAAGGGAGAAATGGATATATATAAATAAAATAAGGCATTACTAGCACTTCTCCCCTCTGCTGATAGATTAGCAAGGGCAAACAGAGGTAGCTAGCATAGTTTTTTTTATACAGACCCAGAGTGGTGTAGTGTGGTCATAGTTTACACAACACATGCAAACTTGCATTAGGCTTAATTGTGAATACTAAACTCTGGAAGTAGAGAACGTTTTACATGGAAAAAATAATGGAGAAGCAATGCCATCAGCAGGCTTCAACCCATCTTTAAGCAGCAGAACTAGAATAGCAGTGAATGTTTTAAAGAAAATGTGCATCATGTCAGTGGAGAGGACAAGCCTTTAGCACTGTTTATGATTACAAAATGTAATGGGAGACTCCATGGGGGTAAAGTAGAAAATACAAGGAGACATCATAGACATGCACATGTCTTGAAACTAGAGTGACTTGCATCTTTATGAAGATGAATGTGCAGCATAAGCATAAATGTGAGGTTGCAGTGTTGGCACCCATTATCAAAAGCCATACTGATTGCAGTAGTTTTGCAAAACACCAGTTTCTACATACAAGCTTTGTAATAGGGGGTAGAATGCAAGACACCCCAAGCTAAATCATAAACTATGAAGGTTCAAGGGATGAAGCCAATAAGGGCAAATTTGACTCCCCATTTTAGGTAGTCTCACTTATTTAGGGGAGCATCTTCCACATGTTAACTTAAATAAAAAAAATCAATCGTGAAGAAAATAATGACAAGTACACAGGAAAACATTCTAGGTGTCAAAGGACAATAAAAATTAGGAATTTACCACAAGTGCACAGTTTTATAAACATTTGACTTTTGTATAATAAATGCCACATGAAAATAAAATACAGTATAAATTCCTACCTGCCAGACTTACTTTAGTGCTGTCCACAAAGGATGACAAAACAAAGTTGTATATCTCCCAGGATGAGTAGCAGCAATGCGAGGATCATACCTTGCAGGATTGAGCTTCGTGCAATGCTCTGGCCAAATTATTTTCTGCCCTCTTGTAACGTTTGAAAAACTGAAGCCATCTCCCTCCCATACCCGCTAATCTCTTCTCTTTCAGTTCATGAAGCATTTCTCCATGGTCACAATTATCAAATGTGCTTGAATAAGCAGCTGTTCATCTGGGCAGTATACCATCTTATCCATAACTGGCAATTGTCTTTATGTATTAGGACAAGGTACAGTGTTTCTAGGGTTTACAGGATATCCTGTCGAGGCTATTTCTATTACACTAAGTGCCTACGCCACATTTATGAACAATTAAATTCAGAAATTTTACCCAGGAGCATATTAATTAGCATATTGTTCACTTTTCCAAGAACATTAACTTCCTTCTCATATATGTAAAGATATTTAGTATGTACCTTGTTCTCTAGACCATTTATTATCAGCCAATACCTCATCTCATCCAAGTCTGCATGCAGAAATTAGATTTAGGTCCAGTATTGGCAGTTGCAGAGGTGGATGTTGCTCTAGTGGTGCACAAAAGTTATCTAGTGTACAGCTCATTGGATGCTCCAATATTTTGCATTCTTAATTCTTATTATGTTCTTTTCTCTAAAAATACACTTTGTAAAACCTCTTCACTGAAACATTTGATGCCTTTTACAAAAACCTTGGCCTCTTCTATCTTGGCACTTGTGGGCAAAGTACCAACTGACATTTTCAAATCAAATTCTAGACATTTGACAGTAACTTGCTAAACTTGTGCATATACTGTACTGGTAATTTAGTGGTTTTCAACAAATGTATGCCTATACCATTACATTCAAAGGGTTTGACAAAACTTTGATGATATGAAGGCTTATGGAGTAAACTCAAAACCCTCTAGGCAAACTCCAGGTAAACTTCCTATTACACATGTCAGAGCAGCTGCAGTCAACCTATACCTTAACTTCACTTTAACCTTAACTTTATACCATTCATTCCTTGCTAACCTATATTTGCAAAAACTGCTTTTACATTTGTAACAAATGAGGTAAACTAACAAACATGGCCCCAGCTTGGTAGTTGCAGTTAGATCCTAACACGATGTGTAGCAAGGTGGGGAGGGGAGGCCAGGGCACAGTGGAGACAGCGGGGGAGGCACGGCCACGACGGTGGGGGAGGGGCCAGAGCACAGCGGCCAGGGCACGGCGGCCAGGGGAGGGGCAGGGCCAGGGCACGGCAGCCGGGAGAGGGGGGGGGGAGGCCATGAAGGAGTAATGATGCAAGAGAAAGTAATGGCTGAACATGCAAATGAATCTGATCACAGTACCCCCACACAAAGCAGAGTTTACCGAATTAAAGGCTACAATTACCGTACCTTTTAAACTTCGTACATAGGAACACCATGAAGAATACTCTCAAAATGAAGTGAGGATAAGTTATCACCCATATCTGAATTACTAAGAATTGCCACATCTATTATATCTGCTTATCCTATTCAAATTCAGATCATATTTGCCAAACTAAAAATCAATGCTGTACAACCTTTTTCCGTAGACCACAGCATTTGATAATCTTATGATAACACTTTCCTATTACCTTGAAATCTAAGCACGTATGCTCTCAATAAATACCTTAATTATACTAAGCATGGAATATCTGCCCTAGCATGTCCTTACCAGCCAATTATATAAGACATCCACCAGATGCTAACAATTTAATGAATTCCAAACTAACTTTTCAGTCACAAAAGTATTCTTAGTGCAGTTCATTCAAAACAAGTTTCATACATACATCTTATTCCTCTAAATCCAGAACTGTATTCAAAGATACCAGACAATGAATTGTAGTAGCTCACCTAGATATTCCATGCTCATTGTACCTATCCTTACCAACACATCTAGACATACCTCTAGGAGTCCTGCATTTGAAGCAGTAATCGCGATGCGAGAAGTTGGAAAACTGGCAACTAGGGCATTCCCATTCCCCAGGCCTGCTGCCACCACCACCACCACCACCACCACCACGAGGGCTAGAGTAACGGTCACCACCGCCACCACCCCCTGCAACATTATTCTCTAAACAGTTGGCACAATACCCTACTCTACGGTACTCTAAATAAATCACAGGAACCCCCATTACTATGGAAAAATACGGCTCGTTATTATATCCCCAATTTACTCTGACTACACAACTGAATATAGGGAGTTAAAGTGCCTTTATTTAATGAAAACTTGCAATTATAGTGCCTGATCAAATCTAAGCACAACCCAGAGCCCTACTTTTAACACCAATTTTGATTACTTGCCCAACACTGCTCGTCATTCAATTATGTGAGTGATTATTATTTAGTACGTACAATATGCGCATGAAAATTATGGCAGAGTAGGACTCGCACCAAAGACCTCTTATATAAATATCCTAAATGTTACTAAAGCCATAGCTCAAGTTGATAACTAAATCTGCTTCCTTAAAGAGCCAATAACCCCAACACTAATCAAGATTAATATTGTATTGGTTAAAATAATGTATGACTACATACAGGTGCAGTGTGCACACATTAACTATACATTATGGGCAAACTTAAAACTGACCTGCAAAATTAAAGCAGTGCTCAATCCCCAGCTACATACAAGTCAACAGGCAAATGACTCCATACTATACTTTAATACAAGTGAAAAAATATTTAAAATTATTTAAACTGACCTTGAACATTATTAAATGGGGCTTCAAAGATCAGTGACAAGTAAAAAAAAAAAACATTAGGTCACCATACTGAGCTTTCTGGATCAAAATTAAAACTCATCAGCTGAAGCACAATTAGCATAATCTGAGAATAAATAAAACATGAAATTGCAGAATAATAAACTTAATAATGAACTACAGGAGAAAGATGTGGCTTGCTGCATCACTAATTCAAACTTCAACAGTAGTTTATCAAGAGCACACACTTATTTACATCACACACACCAGCATTACCCACCACAGCAACCCAGGTGTGTCGAGTATCTCACCGATGTGGAGTACCTCAAATTGTCAAAAACATTTACTCCCTTGTGAAAATGCTTCCTCCTACGCTCAACTAATTGCTCCTGGAGTTTACTCCACAAAATTTTTATGAGGTTTAAGAGGAGACCAGGACAACAGCTTGCATGAGGTTAAAGAGCAAAATGGGTAGAAAAAGGACATGAAAAAGGAGTGATGTAGCAATTGAAAGTAACATACCAATGAGCGAGTACCAATTTGATAGGAAGATAAAAAGAGCTGAAAAGTTTACCCAAGTGAAGAAACAGAGGAACCGAAGGAGGATGAAATGCAGCAAACAGATAGCCAGAAAATTGAAGGAAATATTTTTAAAGGTAGCTGTATTAGGAGGTATAAATGAACCAGGTTAATTACTTGCATTAGCTAAGACCCAGGGCTTTAACTGCTCTCCCTATAGAAGCAACTATGTATGTTTTCTCCATAATCCATCTACTTTGCTTTCCACACTTACCTTAAAAATTCAACAAAAAATTTAGCCGTTTATTTACACACGACCCTAGACTAAATGTCCACACCATACTGAGTAGTCAGTGCATACTGTTTAGAACATTTTTTAATTCCTTGTTAACTTTATACCCATAATTCATACACATGCACTTTTACAAACAATACCCATATGGCGCATCTGCACAACCAGGGGTTACTGTGGGTAAAGGGGTCATGTGTGGACAATACATTCTACTCCAATTTAACCGGTTACAATGTATATATAAAACTGGATGGAGGTGGTCGGATGGTGGTGGTAGTGGTGGTGGTGATGGTGGAGCGACAAGGCAATAGTAGGGTGGGATAGCATGAGATACATCTCCGTGTCCCGTCTACCCTCTTGTATACCAGGAGTACTCTTTACATCGACCAATTACTTAATTTCCATTAATCTTGTGGATGCAAGTGACTTTACCAACCTTGTCAATGCATTCCACTATCAAAGTACTTGGCAGAGTTCAATAACTTATATTTTATGACTACTCCAACCTCCACTGTTATACCCGTCGCACTTTGAAATTTTAAGTGTGTTCTTGGTGCAGGCAACGCAGTGATTAGTTTATATAGAATGTACATTCACTGAGCAAGGTGAAGCTCTTAAGCCCCACCTTGTAGATGACGTACTTATCTTCAGCCCTGACACCATGCTCCCTCCAGGAACCTTTCCATTTTACCACTCTTGAAAAGATCACCAGAATTTTTTTTTTTAGCATGTCCATCCCCATCTACTGGAATTCACCCCACTCTACATATTCCCTCTACTTTCATTCATTGTCACTGCTTTATCCATCCTAAATACATTCTCAAACTAACAAGTTTGTATCAGAGCTATTCGACACCTGGCCCAATGCAACAATAAGTCATTCCATCTGTACTAGGTGCCTCCCCTCCCACCACACATCCCTACATTTCAATTGATATCTGCCATGGCTGCATATTAAAAAATCATGGCATTTTTTTTTTCTTTTTTCCCCCCAAATCCCTTTTCTTGATAGCCCCTAGCATTTTAATTGAACCTGTCATTACATCTTACCTTTCACTAACCCAGAAGACCACACATTGTTTTCAATATAATGCTGTGTAATCCACTTGCTGCTTGAGCATTACTTTCTACTACTATAATTAGCCATGACACTGCATAATCCAACCCCACAATCATTCTTCTAACCCCCCCTCATCTTTCAACTACTTTCACATCAAGTCTCTTGCTCCATTAAACCCACCTCCCTTTTATCTCCTGAATACCTGTAAACTTAAGCTCAACTAGTGTTCACAACCCCTCTACCTCCCCCTCTCCAAAATACCACAAAACCGTAGTTCTCATGCACATCATTTACCAGCAAGTTCTCGTCTGCATTCATTCGCCACCCTAGTAATAACCCCTTACTAGGGGGTTAGCACAGCTTTCCTAAAACTTTCTCCAAACATTCAATCAAGAACATTTCCATCTAATCTCTCTGCACCAGTTTATATCATCCATTACCAACATCCAACTGTCCCTTTTGTCTTTAGCTGTGTAAGCAGAATATTTTATCCCCAAATAACCTGGAATTTAGATTCTTAAACCTTCCAACAAAACTAGCCATTCAAACTAAGTCTTAATATATTTTTTGGGCTTTTGTTGTATCTTATTTTATTGAACATTTTTCATTTTTATCTTGGTCCTCATTTATCTTCGAGATAAATGATTTCTGATTCGTAAGAATGCAGTATTTTATTATAAATTAAAAATAATTAGAAAGATAAATTACGGCTCATTCACTAAAACATTGATTTGTTTTAGGAACAGACTTTCACCTTATTTTCAATTAGAAAATGGATGGACAAACTTAATTTCCTTCCCCACCCCTGTATTTCGTTGCAGACCTAGGCCATTTCTGATTTTAATACCAAAAAGAGAGTTCTGATTTTGCTTCATGGTCGACACACACTTTAATATGCACATTTCGCAGCAAGTGTTCAGAAAGACTTGGAAAACTAGATTTTCAAAATATACAAAAATGTTGCAATACGAGTTGAGCTAAAAGCCCAGGTGGAATCAATTGTTCCCATTGCAATAAATTGAGTAACTGATAAAACCTGAATCACAACAAAGCTGGTAACTGCTTTGCTGCCAAGACAAATGAGTTCACCCCATATCTTGCTATCACACAACTGAAACCTTTACTATTTGAAGTGTTCAAATTTTGTGAGAATTGCCAACAGGAAAAATTTGCATTTAAATTTTGTATTGCTGTACAATACAAATTAAGAGCAAATTTCCTTAAGTAATTACTTATACCTGTATAAAAAAATTACAACCTATTACAAAATGCATACACTACTAATTGTTAATTTCAAAATTAAAACAAAAATATAATCCATAATAACTTAAAATTACACACTTTCAACACAGGTGGGAAATGCCTGACACTATGCATTCAAGATACAAAGGAAAGAGCATCCACTTTGCATATAAAACAAAACTTTACCATATAAATCTAACTGCCATTTCAGTGTTTACAAATTGTTCCAACAAGCTGTTGTTGGCCTAGTTAACTTGGATAATGGGCCAATTTCATTTTTCAATTGCTTTCTTGCACCAAACGACAGCAGTAGTATTTTTTTTTGGTACACATTTCAATATACAGTATTATTGGCATACGGCAGCACAAACTTTAAATGCTTTTCAATATTCGCATCCAACATACCGATAGCAACTCTGCCTGGCCCACACATTGTGTAGATGGCGTTAAATGACTTCAACAAATTAATGTGGACAGTCTATTAGTCAAAATCTTACAGGAGCATTCAAATACAGTAATTTACCCTATATCCGGACACTTCCATATTGACCGATTACCTGTTTTCAATTCGCTTGCGTAAAGTCCGGCTAGTGGGCCTGTCCGAGAAGTTTACCTCAACTGTTCAAGCTCCTTCCTAACAAGGGATTAATTTAACGCATACAACATTTAAAACCCAAACGGTATAACATTTTGTCTTGGCGAGTAATGTACGATTTTTTTTAATGGATATTACCGGAACGACAGGCAATATGGATTATTCAAGCCGTCTTCATACCAAGGTGTCCGCATAATAGGTAAATTATTGTACTTTATTTGCTAGTGAAAAATATTCAACCATATAATGTTTTGAAAGTTATTTATATTAGGTAATTTTGGCCCATACCAATTTTAGATCTCTTTACCAAACACAATTCCTGTTTTCTGCAACCAAGGAATGTCACATACCACGGGGAGCATTACACTTGTAGCACATGCCACGGGATGAGAAGTTATGGAACTGGCACTTCTGGCAAGCCCAGTCTCCAGGACGCATGTCTCGCATTCCTCCACCACCACCACCACCACCACCACCAACACGTCCTCCAGACCCAAAGGAATCTCCATCTATAAAAATGAAATTAATCTATATTTTATGTCTACAATTAACCTGAAAACAAAATGTTTAAGAGAAAGCGTGTGTTAGAGAGGGAACGAAGTAAGAAATGTTGTAGAAGAGGGAGGGAGGAAAGGTGAGGGAAAGATGGAAGAATGTGTTGATGGGGAAAAATGAAAACTAGGCTGGTGAAGGGGATAGAGGGAGATGAAAGTGGTAAAAAGAGCAAGTGTAAAGAGGAAAAGATAAGAAAGCAGCTGGTGTGAGGTGCTTACCCAAGTGACTAGAGGGAAGCGAGGTCTGTTAACCTATACAATTTTACTTCACCTAGCCAACATTTAACTTTATCAGGGTCAAGTATTTCCTTATCCTTATTCTTTAGTATTTTATTTTCAGCTTCCACTCAAGTCAACCTTTTCCTCCTTTCAACTTTAAAAGGCTGTGTTAGTCAATTTCCCTCAGCATCATTTTTAGTGACAATATCCACTCTTTCCTGCTGGAGTTAAGACCTCTTCCCTTAACCTGTCCTCTTATATTGCCATAAAATTGAAACCTATGGACTTTCACAATGCAGATGGCATTATAGATAAGTCTTGAAAGGGCTTATGTAGGTTTTTAAATGCTGTTGTGATGTTTATAAATAGGTTTCACATATATTGCAAGTTTCACACCCGTTATTATGTCCCTCTGGTGAAATTGTCCAAATTGTACACAACTGAAATTTCTAAATCTCTGAGTTGCCTTCCTCTTGACTGATTCCTATTCTTATCCCCAATATCTTTTATTTATGATAAAAGTCGTGTACGCTAATTCAAAAGTTCATCAAGTCCCGAGATTTCTGTAATTGTCCTCGGTTGTACATCCATTATTTTCCATGTCACCTGAAAAATGATACTTTAAAACTTACTCTGAAGGTCGGTTGCTCAGATTGCTCAAATTCAGACCAAAACCTCAGGAAACCCCAATTTGTTAGTCATACATAAAAATCATCAAAACTGCTAAACAGTTTACAATTACACAACCAACACTAATAAACTTAAGACGGCTCCTGAAGTTGGCCCTATTGATTTTGATGCATAGTTGCCAATGCAATACTTTAGGTTGGTCCCAGCCCCCACCCCCCTTTAAATTGCTTATTTATATTTCAACCAGGGTTTTCTTTAAGAATGGTACAAGCTGTTCCATATCTGCACTTTTTGTGGCTATTGCCACCTGTCCTTTTAATGCAATCACTGCAATTTCTGTAGACTACCAGGAAGCAACTTTCACACAACTGTCAGTGCATTCCACGTGTTGACCACCCATACTGAATATCTTGCCATTTTTCTTGGAATCTTTTCAAACTTTAAAACAAATCTTCTATTCTCTCTACTTGGGAAAATTGAGAGAAATGAAAAATGATAGGTGGCAGCTCATACCAAATGTAAAGAAATTGTGCCAACAGTGGTAAACATGTGGAATGCATTGAATGAAGTTGGGCAAGCCACTTCTACTCACTCAGTTTAGCAAATTTAACAGGAATGTTAAAATAAAAATTGTACAACAAAATCACTAATAGGGTATAATACATTAGACCGTAACTTACCTGTAGTTATTTACAGGCAAGCATCCAGCTTCCACTCATTCCCATGTCATAATTTAAATAGGCTGTAAATTCATTCAGCACAGTATCTTGTTAGTAATTATTTCACTTATTGCTCATTGCTTAAGTGGGGAAATTTGTTCACTTTGTAAACTTTAACCTGTGGCCATGTGCACCCAATATAAGCACTGCGTGATGGGGTTCTAGGAAGAGTTCTACTCCCTAAGACTGGCCAGACGCCAGGCTTTAATAGTTTTATGCAGTGTCATTGCTTAACGGTAGCTACAGGGAGGGCATGTCCTGCCTGATGTTCAGCATGCTTTGTTGTATTTGGTCAAAGATGAAGATCCAGGTAGCTTGTAACTTCAGATTATGTAAAAAAATTAGCCTGATATTGTATTTTAATACTGGTGGTCAAGCCCCTCGGCTCATTTCCAAGCTTAAACATTCTGGCTCGCCTCACAATGATATCTTTCCCCACGTTTCAAGTTTCCCCAGCTATTTGTTTATAGCTATTCGGTGTCAGTTTGGAAATAAATTATCAAGAGACCATATGCAAGAATAAAAGTATTTGTAATAGTTTATACTATTTGCATATTCGTAAATGTAAAATAGGGCACTGAATAATGTTCCACTCTGCAATTTAAAAAATGTTTACAATAATTTCTTAGTTATTTGTTGGGTTATAATTAACTTCAATTTTCAATTTTTGGAAATGTCAATTTTTGGAAATGAATACTATGAGTGTGAAAAAATTATACAAGACACCAACATCCAAATTTTGTGAATAATCTTAATGTCAGTAGACGAGTTTCTACATCAGAATGCAAAAATTACATCTACATCAGAACGCAATAGTTAGCACTTTTCTTTCTCTACATTACCTCACCCTCCATTTCCCTTGTTTACTATGGATGCCTTTTCATTCAGGCACGAATCACTTATTCTTCACTTTGCTTTTCTGTATTTAGTGGTGGATATTAACTTCCAATATTCCAGTGCCTAATGTTGGCAGCTCTAATGCACTTCAGTGACATTGTTACAAGTGCTTGTGTCCTCTTTATAACTTTCAATTACATTATCTTTATCCAGGTTTCCAGATTTTGTGCAGAGTTCAACTAAAATCTTTGGTTGACATGTGATAAATTACCCCCTTGCAGCCTCCTTATAAGGCACGATTATTCAGGTCTTGCACATCTGCCTCTCGTCTAATTCCTCCTCATGGTAACCCACATCTTGACCCTCGGTACATACACGCTCTCGTTTTGCAACCCTCTTGCTGAGCTCGCCACACCTTGTCACTTTCCTTGAGACTAAGATGTTTCATCAGCCTGATTACAACACTTTCTCAATGTAATGGCTTTGATTAGCAACAGCATTTTTGCTACATTTCAAATTGTCATTAAGCTGCCCTTCTGACTAATGGAAGGAAGGTGGGAGGGTGCACTAGGTAATGGACTGTGCCACCAGCAGTTTTAATTAATATTTCTGATATTAGGTTTCAGGTACCATGTTGTACATTTTAAATGGGTCAAAAATTTGCTTCAAAAATTTAGTTATACTTTCCAACCATCCCATTCAATTTTTTCACTTTAAAGAAGTTATTCTTGTTCATGTCTATTTCCCCTTAGTACCTTACATGTAATGATCACATGTTGCTAGCAAGTTCTCAAATTTTTTGTGCAATAAATGATGGAATTTGTTTTGAATAGGTAGTGTCTTTAGTATAGTGTTAAATGTTTGACAACTACCCTATGATACTCATGTTTCCCTGTGTGCAAGCATCTTGTTGATGTGTGGTCATGTATAACCATTACCTTTCCTTTATAGTGTAGGTTCCTTCAACCCCCCCCCCCAACCTTCCCCATCTTCAATGTTACACTTCTTTGGAATTAAACTCTTGCAACCAGTCTGCCTACTTTGAGGTTGAGTGCAAGCTCATTTCCTCAAATGGGTAACACTTAATTTAATAATAGTATCGTTAGAACCAATCCTTGCAGAACCCCCATGTCATGTCCTTCCACCTCACTGCCGCCGCCACCACCATTGACACTACACCAAGTATTCCCCTTACTCGGTATTAAATTGTTACCTATGCTTTTTATCTTGTACTTGCATTTATGATTAATATTACTAGGCCATCTTTCTCCTGTAGAAATATTAAGTTTATTTCCTCTAGGGTCCAACTATGACCTAACCTAGAGTTTGCAGGCAGAAGGTGGTAAAGATGGAAGTAGGAGAGGAGGGAGGTAGGGGAAGATGTGGTGGGTGTTATGAAGGTGGGAGAGGATGGGGTCAAGGAAAGGAGAAGACAAGGGGGGGAGGCAAGGAAAGGGGAAGACAGGGGGGGGAGGCAAGGAGAGGGGAAGATGGGGGGGGAGGCAAGGAGAGGGGAAGATGGGGGGGGGGGGGCAGGCAAGGAAAGGAGATGGGGGGGGGTGGCAGGCAAGGAAAGGGGAAGATGGGGGGGGGGACGACAGGCAAGGAAAGGGGAAGTTGGGGGGCACAGGCAAGGAAAGGGGAAGATGGGGGGGGAGGGCAAGGAAAGGGGAGGAGGTAGGTGATGGGGCAAGGGGTAGGGAGGGGGGGGGGGGGGGGGGGGGGGGGGGGGGAAGGTAGGTTATAGTGTGGGAAAGGTAGGGAGAGGATAGGAGACACTGGGAAGGTTACAGGGATGAAGTAGTAGTAGTAGAAGCACCTAATAGTTCAAGATAATTACTAGGACACATACCTTTAGGAGTCCTGCACTTGAAACAAGCAGTGCGTGATGCAAAATTGGAAAACTGGCAACTTGGACAATCCCAGTCTCCAGGCTTGCTGCTGGAACGGCTAGAGTACCGATCCTGGTCAGAGTACCTGTCCCATCCACCTGTCAAATCAAAAGGTACATTTAAATGAGGACTGCATAATAAACATGTTAACATTCCCAAGCAGAAATGACTGGAGTGCACTAATGAGATGCTGCAGGATCCAAGCATACACCAATCAACCCATCCATAACAATTCTTCCAGTTTACAATTTAATGTTACCACTAAATCAGAGGCAAAAATCTAGACGAATCAGCTCCGGGATAAAGTTGTATAACAGTTTGTTCATTCAATCGAGTGAACTTTTAAACTGTTGCAGCAGAAAGTACTAACAAGTACTAACTGGTAAAAGGTAGATTACACTAAACCCGCACTGGAAATTGTGTATATGGCAAACTAATGCCAATAAACAACTACACACTGCTTAACCCTTTGGGTATGAAGTTTGGCACTTAACTATTTCAGAAACAAACATTTAAAGTTGCCAGTGTCCACCTGCACCAAACAGAACAATGATTAAAATCAAAACCATAAAGGAAAGGGGCAGGGCAATGCCTGGCAAAAAAAATTATGAATTTTACAAGAAAAATTAGTTTTAACACTTTCGTCCAACGGTGACACAGTCAATAAATAAATTGACGGATGTCCACTGGTGATGAATGTTAATATTTAAAATATTAAAATTGTATTCATCCAATTATTATGGGACTAGTTTTAAAATGCACACCTTTAGATTACAAACAGTTTGATACCAAAATGAACGACGTAGCACGACAATTGAAATCAGAACACTGAAAAGATTATAAATACTTGTGTGGTGACGAGTGTCCAAAATTAAAAATGTCCTTTAGTTCGGTTATTATGGTACTAGTTTTAAAATGTGCACCTTTAGATTGCGAACAATTTTATACCAAAATTGACGACGTCGCTGAAATTGAGGTCAGAACACTGGAAAGAGTACACTTGTTGGTGCCAAAGTCTGCCATCAAAAAGAGTGGTATTTCAAAATCAATACCAAATCCACCTGTCAACAAAAGGATCAGATTTTGGGTCTGCCAAATTTTCTATACACAAACTAAATAAATTGCCATTAAATTTGTTCAATGGCTTTCTAAAGGCTAATGCTTTGTTGTGCCCATTTATGGGAATTGTTAACACTTTCGCTCGGGGATGACGCAGCATTGCGTCATCCGTTTACTGGCGGTAATGCCGGGGATGACGCAGCATTACGTCATCCACTTTAAAAATTCGCTAAAAATCAGGTTTGTATCCGATTTTTGGGGGACTGGTTTTAAAATGTGCGCCGATGTCTTCCCATTTCCTTTGTTGAGCCTCGTGGCCCTCAGGCGGCTTGGCACACGCCGTGGGCCCATTGTCTTTGCTCCACTGTTGTGACCAATGTCGTCTCCCCTCGCATCTCAAACGTGTGAACATTTCGGCTATTTTCCGTGGCTATATTTCTTACTGCGGCTTTAGAAACTATCTACGCTTACTCCACGATGGATAGTAATCATGAACAAGGCCCTTCCAGGAAGAAAATTGTGAAAGAAAGGCTTGAAAAGGGTGGGAATTGGGAGTGTAGTAGGAAGGCCTCTGAGCGCTCACTCACGGCTAACGCGTGGCCCGTCTTCAACTCGTCGGCGGTTGGAGCGTGACCAGGTGTTTTTTTTTATATGCTAATGTTCCTCTAGAGAATTTTATTACGAACCCATTGAGACCAAAATGAAAGACCTAGGACAAAAATTGAGGTGACCAGAGTGAAAATAGTGAAAACATTTTATCCCGTTTGCGCGCTCCCGGGTAACTCGTTCGCACTTTCTCTGTTTGCTGCGGGTAATTAGCCGGGCTTTTGGAGTTTATATGCATTTAGTGCTGTAGAGAATTTTATTGCGAACACAATGATACCAAATTTATTCTCGTAGAAGGAGAATTGAGGTGACAAAGTTGAAGAGAGTATACACTTTTCGGAATTAACGCGCGCTTCCGTGACACGCTGGGGCCCATATCGCCCTGTCGAGGGGTGGCGCGCGGGGTGAGCGAAAGTGTTAAAATAGATTGGAGCCTTTTTTAATGCAGTTGGCATTCGTATCCTATTTCTCATGCTCTACTGTATGGGGAAATTTCAAAGCTAATTTTTAAATTAGAGCCTATCACATTATAGATATCTGGAAAGCTTGTTGAAATACCTCACCACATTTAGCCATTTGGCACTCCCTAGCCTTAAATTGTCACTTTCCAAATTAGCAGGACCAATATGGGAGTGAACAAAACCTTTGTCTACTTTGAAAATGAACCACTTTAATTTTATTTTCAAATACAGTGCAAAGGCTTCCACAGTGCCTTTTTGCAAAGGCTTCCACAGCTTTTTCTACAATGCATATACCTGCTTAATGGGGTTCTGAGAGTTGTAATTACTCCAAGCCCAGCCCAAGGCCAGGCTTGACTTGTGGGAGCTTGGTCCACTAGCCCAGTCATATCTACATGAATTATTAAAAATGTGATCAGAGGTAAATTGAAGGAGTTAGCACACCCTAATATTACTAAACCAGATTTCATAGAGCCCCACCCCTCCCAGAATTCTCCAACGTTTTCTAATTTTGGAGAGCAGATCAAGATAAAAATTGTTTAAATCAGGACTGGCCAGCAGGCCATATCCAGCCTACAAAAAAATTTCATCTAACTTTCAGCAACTTATATTAAGAGTAACTTTTTCTAAACCCATGTGGCATTTGACACTTCCCATTCCTGTCCATTGTGCTCCTTCCTAAATGACAACGTTTGGTGAACCCCCATTCTCAGCCATATGCACCCCTGCTGTGGATAACTTAGTGTAGAAAGCTTTAGATATGACCCTGATCCAAGCTGCTTAATGTATGAGTAACCATGGGGCCCCAATAGCAGAGTGGACTACACTAAACAGAGCTTGGGATTCGTAGTTCTTATGTGTTGGGATCGATCCCCGGTGGAGGTGGGAAAACAAATGGGCGGCTCCTTTCACCCTGATGCGCCTGTTCACCTAGCAGTAAATAAGTACCCGAGAATTAGACAGCTGTTATGGGCTGCTTCCTGGGGGCCCATAACAAAAAGGAGGCCTGGTCGAGAACTGAGCCTTGGGGACGCTAAGCCCCGAAATCAACGAGATAACCTCAAGATGATAACCATTTGCAGAACTAATTCTTTTGCTATACAACTTATTTTCTGTTGTGCTTTAAATTCATTACAATTATTCCACATACATGCCTTGGTGGTGTTAAGAGTTGTTTTATGCCCCAAGTCCAGCCTAGGGCAAGGCTTGAATTATGGTTCCATATTTATCTTGGGTAATAAAAGCCATGGAAAATCAAACTGATTGATTAAATATTATGCCACCCAAAAGATGACACTGGCATGAAAGGCCCACACAAACTCAAACCTAAATTACAGATTTAAGAGTAGAACCCAATTTGCAGTTTCTATTATGTAAACATAATGCAATGCACTCTGCACTGACCTCTGGCAAGCCCTTGAGATCAATTTATGTATGCCACCCTTTAAGGGTTAAGACTTAAGCTGCAATACTTCAACCGGACTACAAAATACAAAGACCAATTATCAGCCACTACGACAATTCCACCAACTTTGGCTCTACCTCATACGCACTGCCCTTTCAAGAACTGGACAACGAACATTTCCTGCACTCTTCTGTTGTACAACAGGCATACACAGCCACTCATTCTGAGCATCAATAGAGTACACTTAGTCATTTCTAAAGCACTTATCGCCTAATGCAACAAACTCACCATCTCGCGTACTCTCACCTCCCCAGTCGTTGGAATCTTTTGTGTCCTCCATTGAGTCTTCTGAAATGAGAAAAAAAATACCAATTACTACTGGGGGGGGGGGGGGGGGAAATATTAAATCAAATATTCTAAAGTCCTAAAGCATTAATGCAGTTGTGTACATAAAACTGTGGCAATTTATAAATAAATTTGTGAAGCAGTTGTAATGCAGTTGTAATATGTTCTTGTATTCTTATTCATGATATTCTTCTATGTATATTCTTATAACTTGTATTCTATATTCTTATAGAATATAGAACGATGTACAGTGGAACCTTGACTGACGAGCATTCCCACTGGTTCTCAGACACCACCTACAAGTTTTTTTTGTGGTTTCACAAGACGAGTTTTCCACATGACAAGCGCGGTACCGGAACGGATTAAACTTGTTAATCAAGGCACCACTGTATATTATATTTATATATAATATACATAATTATATATAATTATGTACACGTATATAATATATTCTATTTTCTTATAGAATATAGAACGATGTATATTATATTCTTTTAAATCTCTTATGTAAACAAACTAAGCAACTCGTTATGTGCCACAACAAAGCCAAATCATTGTCATGTGTAAACAACAAACGTTAGCTGTTTTAGATACATTTTAAATCAATTATTTCCACTGATCTTCAAATAAAAGCATTACCACTTCACCTGACAAATAATGTTTATGCCATTTACAAATTATCAACTACACTTAGGGTGAACGAGGCATAATGATACTGTATATGGATGGGGCACATATAACCTAAATTTTCTTAAAAGACTCATTTAGACATCAAAATTAACAAACGTGTTGCTAAGAATGTTATGCATTATTACAATGCCAAAATGATTTCAAAATATTTCAAGTCGATTTAAGAAAAATAGATAACCCGTTTAATAAGTATAGGATGACAATTTTGTATAATTACTTCATCACAGATGCAGAAAAACCTATTGCCAGCGATAATTCCTCAAACATGTTTGCTATCGATACTACCATAAAACTGTAAAACCTTTAAATACCTCAAACATGTTAATACGTGAAATAAAATTTCGAAATTAGGCAGAAATATGAAGCACAGTACAATACTTGGGAACTAATAAATTATAGCGCCATTCCAAAATGCACGTTACAACTGGTGAAAATGTAGATTCACTTTTAGGTCAATTATTGAAGGCTAAATAAAATAAAAACTAATTTGAAATACTGAACTGTAATGATTATAAAGGCAAAAAGGAATTGCAAGAGAAAATGAGAAAAATTCAGCAACCAATATACTAAGTAAATTTCTTTTGTTAGGAACAAACTAATCACACTCCTACATGAATCTGAGCAACCTCTGAAGTATTGAGAAGTATGGTTCAAAAATAGTGTAAGTAATTTAGCAAACAAAATTAGGCTAGTATAACTTCGAGGAATCTGAATCCCCTCAGGGCATGCTACAGCCACAAATTCGTGCTCCACATACTGTGTTCAACAGAACAGGACCAATGGCCCTGCACAGCTTGAGCCAACCAGGTCTAAATATGACGAGTTTATGACCTTTCATATACCTACATCTGTTAAAAATTTCTGTAATACTGTACCTGAAAATTGAGGAGTTGACTGAAAACTAGCCACTTCCCTACACTATGAAATTACAATAGGACTACCGTTGTAGAACAGGGATCGAACCAGCAAATTGCATCACCCCCAGACACGCGTTTTAACCCACTGGACCTTTGGCCAGAATGTTATCCAAATACCCAATACCAAACGACTAGAAAGTTGGAAATGTGCTAACATTGGTTTGACTACATTAACTAAATGGATCCTTTTGGAGTCCTAAAATTAAATAAATCTTAGATTTTAAGAAGTGGCTAAAAATTAGAAGTATTCAACAGTTGTAGGTTGCCTCCATGAAAACAATCCAACTGCAAAATTAAAGTCATGGTCCAGCACTGCTTAAATTTCTGAAATTATTTATTCCCCACTATGACTAATGTATTTTACCAACCTGTTGCAACAAATTTAAATGAATGCAAATGCATGTACTGTACTGTAATAGTACAAAAGTTGTATTCTGCAAATGATAAAACTCACTCCAACTTGTAAAGAGGAACACCAAAGAGCAACTTCTTAATTTTTGTTTTTATATACAGTGCTTAGTTTTTATACACAATATTGTATACAAAATCTACCTTACAGCACAGCACTTGGGGGTTAAACTACCTGCATAATTTTTTTTTTTTTTTTTTTTTTTTACAGCTACCCCATCTCTTCAAGTACATCTCTTTCAATTCGGATATCTTGCAAACTGTACAAAAGTTAATGAGAACCAATAAAATGTGAACCTATTAAAATGCTATTAATAATGTGAACCTTAATACTACTAAAACATTCTTAAATCTCTTATCCCAATAAATGTGTACCAACAGAAAAAATTAGGCATTTAGGCAGACCAGCTTCCCAGGTTTTGTAACCTAAATCAACTAAACCATCCCAGTTAAGATATTTAAATTAATATAGGGATTGGGGAAGCATCGACAAATCAATACTATAAGAAAAAATCCACAAATTTAACAGTACAGTATGTGAATTTTGTAATAATTAGATTGAGCAAAAGATAAAACGTACACGTTATGGGGAAAGGAATATTCACATGAAACGAACTAAAAGGTGGTCAATGGATATTCGTTAGGAATTTCTATTCTTCAGTTGTCCTATACTATAATGCAATATTACAGAAACCCAAGGAAATTTCTTTTAAGTTGGCAACTAAATTCCCCACTAACATTTGATCTTTGATGCTTACTTTAGTACCATCACTAAATTTTACTAAATTAATAAAAATCACAATTTTTTACTTCAATATACTATATCTGTACAAGACATTCTGATCTTTACATTACTATATTAGTACAGTATACTGTATTATAAAAAAAATCCCACTATATTCAAGAACTCAAATGAACTACAATTCACCTGTCCCATCAGTTACAACAACAAATTCAAACTCCTCCCATGGGAGCCATGAAATATATGTACATATACAATATTTTACTTCCAAAAACTGTAGTCCCACAGCTCCAAACTGCCCACATCTAGACTGAAACAGTCTTCAATCAATACACAGGCCAAGTATTAAACTTAACATTCAAATTACAAAGCTGGTTCATATATAACCCTGTGATATTTAGCCATCTACCTAAATTCTGTAGTTTAGGATAGAAAATATGGAAACATTTGATTAACTTTCACTGTAGTACTCTTGTTTGAACTTTTTCAATTTAAAAAATACTACATTGTCCCACCAAATCAATTATCAAGTGAAACTGACAATTACTTCAAGCTGTATTTGCTTAAATTTGTGTATCTACAGAAAGCCAAATGGTATTTAAGAATTAGTAATATACAGTGTACACTAACTTTGGCAGACTATAGACAACCCAAGTTTGAAACCATTTGCAGACTAATGCTCGAGCTGGGATGTAATTACCTAAGTGTAGTTACAGGATGAGAGCTACGCTCGAGGTGTCCCCCGTCTGCCCAGCACTCATAGGGACTGAGTGCTGGGATGTATACACCTTGCCATGCTACTTATGCCCAAGACATCAGATTATCATTGAATTTATAAGCAGATTTCTCCAACTTTAGTTGTAAATACAACATCTCTTTGCATTTGTAGGGAGGGGCACTACTGCAATAATTTTTAATCTTATAATTTTTGGACTGGTGGAATTGGAAGCTGTTTTTGGACTGTCTTAATTGGAAGCATTTCTACTATGTGAAAAGTGTACTAAATGAGTATTCTCTGGATATTTAATTTCAAAGCTGAAAGACATGGACTAGCAGGCATAGTTTAGATGAAACCATTTACAGAAAACTAACATGTTACAAAAGATTTAGCAAAGCTGAGGAGCAAGGAGATTGGAAAGTTTTTGGTACAGTATATGAAAAACATTAAAATCAAGAAATCAAAGCAAAAGTGATATTGGATTACTTTTAAGTGGCCCATACTGCAAGACAAATTCAATATACCACAATTGATCCAGACAGCTCCCAACATTAGCAATATAAAAATGCAGGAAATTAAAAACAAATTTACATTTCCTTTGACATACAATCATTTCTATTGTCCCAAAATTTGTATAGAAATGTTTCCTAACTTTAGTCCTCATAAAATTCAAATACTGTAATTCCAGGGTAAACAATTTTGTTTTAGTGTTTGTGCATAATCTTGTCATATACAAAGTCATAATTAATGAACTGGTAAAGTTTCTCTTGGGTAAGAATAGCAAGAGAAATGTTATAGTATGTAGAATTATATAAATTTTATTGGATTAGTTTTCTCTTTAAAGTGACAATTTTCATATTTAAGTTCTTTAACATCAGATGAACCCTTACAAGTCATGATTTAATCCATCTAAGGGGTTAATTTGTTTTCCTCCCAACATTTTAAATACACCCAGTATATTAAATGCATTTGTAATATATGCATGAAGATGTATTTTACCGTTGGGGTTAAAAGGGTAATTCTTGTACAATTCTTAATGAGCCAGAATTGGTCCATTTGAGCAAGGTTACAATGTATTGTTCATGCAAACTCCTATTTACCGTGTAATATGGTAAGGGAAGTTTTTATTTGAAGTTTTCTAAAATTTATTTTTCTTTACTCCTTTTAACACTGCAACTACAGCATACAGTACTTAAACTATTAAATTGCGGAGGGGATGGACTGACGTACCAGAATCATACTTTCTATCCTTTTCTTCCGAAATGAATCTTTTACGCTTTGGGGAAGAAGCTCCCCCCCCTTCCTCACCAGAAGAGCCTTCACCCCCCTTCACATTCCGCTTTGAATTCTTGGGCGGCATGTTGTTTGACGGAACTGCAAAGAAGTACCTAAGATATTGTTAAACTAGAAAAGCATCTAAAAAAAGCACTAGTTAAGGGCTTTGGGCTTTGTAAACTTTATGAGCCTGATGCTAACTTTCTGGAGTTTTTCCATTGAGGTTGTCCAATTAACCTGAAAACACTGAAAAATTTGTCTAGTAAATAGGAGTTTGCTTCAGCAATACATATTACTCAATTTTAAGTTTCACTTTAGGGACTTAGGGTCAAATGAGTAAGCTCTATCTTTAGCAAAGTTCAAAATTAGGGGGATGGTAGCATATTGAAATTTTGCCAATTCGGTCAAAATATGCATATGGTACATCTTAATCAGTTTTCAGATTCTTTTGTTTGATGCATGGCCAATGGGATTAAAGATGTGAATTGGGGAACAAGAAACAGGGAAACTTGCTGAATGACAAAATTTGAGATTGTATGGAGTGGTTGTGCAGGTGGGGACTCGGGAGGGGGGGTCGGGGTTGTCTAGCTCCTTTTCTGTTTCCCTAAGCCGAGTCTAGCCAACAGCCTGAACAGTGAAGCTGTTTGTGCAAAGGCACAAACTTTGGTACTTCAGTTGCTCAAGAGACCTGTAATTCTTCCTACGTTTATGGGATGGAATAAGTAACTTTTTAAGTATCTAGATTACGTAGCCAATACTTCAATTAACACTATTTTGCACATTTTGGCAAAAGCAGGGGAAATAGGGCTGATGTTGCGAATGGTTATTAGGTATTGGTAACGAACTTAAAACTGACGTTTAAAAATAATTCTTTACAGTATTACATCTGTAACATTAGAATGTCATTGCCAATATTTGTGTACAATTTACACAAACGAAATGGACAATTCATTGTTTTATTTTTTATTTTTAGATAAAATTGTACAATACTGTCACATTATGGTTACTGGTACCAATCTAAGTATAGTAATATTTCTAAGCCACAGTACCCAGCTACTGAACTTCATTACCTTTAGACAAGGTAAAATTTAATTATATCCCTTGTAGGACTGACTCATGGTTCACCAGTAACTTCTTGACCCTAACCAAGCCTCAGTCAAAAATATTGTGTTAAACATTGCAACATTTAGCTGTTACCTTGCAATTACCAATGTGGGCCCCTAGTGATGTAGGCCATGTTCCATGCCACTGTGAAGGTCAATGTAAATTAACCACTCAATTGATACAAATTATTTTAAGTCACTAGACGGCTTAGATTATGTAAATTAGATCTGTATATTCTATGCATCAATTGGGTCCAGTTTTTCCCTCAGGGGTCAGATATTGCTAAGGGTATTATTAGGCATTGGTAGCGAACTTAAAACTGACGACGTTTAAAAAACTTTTACAGTATTACATCAGGAACAATGGCAAGTAATGTCAAGTCATTGCCATTAGAATTTTACTGCTGCCAATATTTCTTATATACAATTATTGTAACTTGCTAAATTACCAAATTAGCATTATTGCAGGGGAAGGGGGAACTATCAGGAAAATGCAGACTTTATGAATATATAACACTTGGACAGGATCAGGATAAAGATTTGGGACGAGACACAGAAAGAATGGTGCCCAACCACTGAGGGTCAGGACGGAACGCAGACCTGCATGAAGCGAGAGACTACCATCCAACCCACGTGGTTTTTAAGAAAGTCCTTCGATCAATAGCAGAATTTATTGAAGTCCACGCATTTTAACAAGGTCAAATCTCAAATGTGCTATTTTTCTCTTCAAACATTTATGGTAGCAAATGCTAACAATTATGGATTGAGTAGAGCTTTCAATACTATTCCATACAAAGCCCCATGACAAACTTACCAAACTCAGAACAAACGGTATAATTAAGTATAGAAATGTCATTAGAAGTGTACCTGAAAGTTTACCATTGTTCTATATTGGGCCTGTTAAGTGTTCATATTTCACATTAATGATCATGTTGTGGGCAGAATGAAAGTATTGCATGTGACAAAATATTCAAATGAAGATAATGTTAAAATGATTTTTTTTTAAAAGCAAACAAGGTTAGACAAATGATGCAGTTTTACAGGATGTAAACTCCTAAGTTTGGGCTAAGATAGAAAGTGCTGTTCATCAGCTAAAACACTGGCAAGTCAAATTGTGCAGTATTTAAGAGTAAGGGTTAGTGAAAACTAGATGACCAATGAATTTTCAATGCTATAAGAATAGTTTTATATCTAGAAACAGTTCAATAGAAAAATATCCAAGCCAACATATTGGTTACCCTCTACTAGTGCACCTTATTTTGTACTCTATTGTTCCCAATTTACAAAAGGGATACTAGTATGTACTGTACTATAAAACAGCTCACAAATAGCCACAATTTGTGTTGGTTAGGTCAGGTGCGCGGCTTGTATTTGTGCATTTTAGTAACCCTTATTTTGTATGTTGTGGCAAATCAAATGAATGGGCTGCACTATCACAAGACAAAACTTAATTGAGTTAACCAAAAAGTACTGTATTACGAATCTTAGACCTGTTAATGCCAGCTGGCAGTTAATTCTTGGCATATTTCAATTAAAATATCTTAAAACCAGTTTCAATTAAAACCACCACATCCCCAAAGTGTTTCATTATTTTCAACAGACGGAGTGGCTTCTTAAATGAGATCCCCCAATACCAGGCATTGGCTAGCCACCTAGCACAGTTTTGGAATTCACTTATGCCATCGCCCATAAACTTGCTGTTAATACTGGTCACTTATCTAGATGCACATGAACAATGAAAAGCAATGGGCCACCCAGTACAGTCCTGTGGTACACAACTTATGACATCTATTCACTCGATCCAAAATGGTACATCATTTGTCCTTTGAGCTGTACGAACATAAGAGTAAAGGTAACTGCAGAAGGCCTATTGGCTCATACAAGGCAGCTATTTATATCCACCCAATCAATGTGTAACCTACATTTGAAACAAGGGATCCAACTTCTATTATGTTAAATGTGGTAATTGGTTCCACAAGTCAACCCCAAATTGGTAATTGGTTCCACTAATCTATGCAGATTCAGTGTTTCCTCCAGTCATGTTTTGGCTTTCCTGGGCCACCTCAGAAGTTCAAGACTTTCCAGGGGGTTACACTGTAATTTACATCATATATGCTATTCTAATCTACCTTTAAAATGTTCTATTAAAGTGACAGTATAATGGAAACTTAGAACAATCCCTTGTAGATCAGTGATCACCCAATATCTAGACAGTCTTACAGAACCTACTACTGCATTCAGGAAATCTCCAATGATGCCAAGGTAATTGGTACTCAGAACTATACTTGCCTTCTTGAATATTGGACAAATGTAGTTAATCCTTCAACCTGCTGGGACAGTGCCAATTGACTATGCTATTTAGATGCCACAAGCCAACCAAACCTCTATTCTTTCTGAACTACCAAGTTCAGCCTGGACCAAGGCATTTGTGTTATGCCTCTAATCTAAGTACCCTGTAGTGCTCTCTAGATAGCTTCTTAAGGATTATATCGGGCTCAAATTCACAACTTTATCATATTAACCCCCCACTGAGTAATCTCTAGAGTACTTTTTTTTACAATTGTTTTAAAACTGGCTGGATGAATCTGATTAGCCTACAGAAAAATTAGTAAGCCTTGTAGCTGTGCATTATTTACCAGGTAGCACAAACTAGCAATTATTTTAAATAGGCAAACAAGATAACTATTGTATCCTTAATGTCCTCATGAAATATGCAACCTTTAGTATTATGGATGTAGGCCTATAAACGATACATTACACAAGTTACAGATTACAATGTACCTTCCACTTGTAACAGTGCAAGTATTTTGCACTCTTTCATGTATAATTGTGAGTTATAATTGTGGGTGTGCGCGCGCACGTGTGTTGGTGAGGAGCGAGATGGTACGAGGGAGGTGTTGACTAGCTTCGATCTGCTGACATGGTAGTACTTGTGTTGGTAAGGGCTAGCTTGGCCTGTCCCAGTCCTTATTAGGGCATGAGGAAGACACAGCTTCCCCACGTTGGGGGTGGCTGGTAGATGCAGTTAAGAGACCAGCGGGCATAGAGGGAACGTGACCAGCCAGCTTTCCCCAGATTTTCACCCTGGTGGGTGCCAGTCACCATGAGGGTGCATCTGTCCGAGTTGAGAAGGTGAGAGCTCAGTTGTCTTAAACCAGAATTGTGTCTTAGTGGTGACGAGCTAGTGGAGTCTGAACCATTTAGCCATGTATGGTGTGGGTGTGTATGGAGTGGGTGATCCCCCCCCCTTTTAATTCGGTCAATATTATGTTAAAATAATAGAACGTCAAAATGTTGAATAGTAAGAACTATGGAAATTGAAATAATTTGAAAGAATTTGATTCAATAAATGTGTGTAGAATAACAAGCTTGACTTTTGTTCAGTCCTCTTTGTGAATCGATGTCCCCCACAAGTAAGAGTTAAGCCTAGAAATAAGTAGATGAACAAGTGAGAACTTAATTAAGCAGTTCCTGTCGCATTGTTAAAGTGGAATTAAAATTTAGTTTGCAAAGGAGACGGGTGGTGGCAGCTTATATTAGAACATGTAAAGTAAAAATTAACATCAGTATAGTACATCATAGAATAAGTCGGTCTACTCTCCTTCCTTCCTCCTACCTCTCCTCTTCCCGTACGCACCTCGTTTTCTGTTGCCACACAGACGAGTTCCCTCTCAACCTTATCCATGTCTGTCCCCCCCCTCTTCTCTTCTCTTCCCTCCCCCTCCCCTTCCTTTCTTCCTTCCTTTGCTTCCTTGAAGATACTTCTCACTATCAAAAGGTAGGGATAGGTAGTATTTTGTTACTTTAAACCCTATTTGTATCCACCCAGTCCAAAAATAGTGCATTGCATTTAAGCATCAAAATCACAAATGGTGAAGAAATAGGGCATTATAAATTATAGCTCACGAAATCACATTTTCTATATATGGTCATTATGTTCCATAATTTTGAAACACCATATTCTAAATTGTGGAAACTATAGGATAGTGTTCAGAAAATCCTGTCCATGATACAGGCCTGTGACTGGCCCTGCCATGATATAACATGCTTCACATTCTTAAGTACAAGGGTGAAACAAAATTGTTAAAAGTAGAACCTTGAACATTAAACAATGAATTAACTGGTATCAAAATTGTTTACCAAAACAGGTCAAAATTAAAATGACCAGTGAGGCTTTGAACTTGCATCTTCAAAGGCTTTCCTTGGTTATGGAAAATTATAAATAGTATTAAGGTGTTGACCAAACAACACTAGAAATTGAAGACAATGGTTCAGGACAGCAAAACAAGTTATTTAGTCAAGTCACAATCGACTTAATGGTCCAGGACGGACAAACTTCGTAGTCTTGACAATTTCTAGTGGCTGAAAGATGTTGACCAAACTGCATGTTATTGTGACTGTTTGCAAATAGAATCAAAGGTCTATACATCAAGGGTATCTCTTTACCCAACCGAGGTTATATCTTACATTTTATTCAGCACATCTTTGTCCAAATGACAGCTGCAGGACTTTCTCAGGCTTAACTAGAAGTGGACAAAACTTCTGCCCAACAAGAAATGTTGCTATTTGCACAACGGGTCAAATGAACGAAGCTATTCAGCTTAATCTAACCATTAAGTATGAAACTTCATACTGCCTAAATTGTGCAGTACTTCACACAAACTCACCAATTACTCCAGACGGGGCAGTCACATTCCTGTTGAATAATAAAGGAAGTCTGTACCTAATCTTATAGGAGTCCCCCCCCCCATTAATTGCAACCCATCCTCCTGTTTAGATAGTACCTATTGTGACTATCGTCTAGTCCCGAATTCGTCCATACTTAGCTTTTAGATAGTAGTTTACAGACTAGTAAGGAATTTTATGAGAAGCTAAAACACTTAAAATATTCCTAGAACATTTCTGGCACACGTGTACTATATTAGGCCTTAGATGTTGTGTATTAGGCCTGGGAATGTTAGAGTTTAGTTTGTCAAAAACTACCAAGTAAAAAATATTTTTTCGGGTTTGTCCAACTCGATAGTTTTACCAAAACCGGAGGCTGGGCTGCCTAATTACCCCAGGATGAAACCAACAGTTGCCCAATGCCCACGCACCTCCTTACTGCTGAGATGACAGGAAATGTGCCCAGCTGTATCGCCCTGCGCAGGGACCGAACCCGGGCCCTCAGTTGTCACTCTAGGTCACGCCACTTTGCCAGAGGAACGATCTTTGAACCCCACACATTTACGGCCAAGCTGTTCACAAAAAAAAAAAAAAAAAATCCATAGGCACGAAATACGACCCCCTCCCCCCATATCAGCTTTGAAAGCATGGCAATCCATATATATACCTTGAACATGGTAGTGGTTTATTAGCCACACCAGCCCGCCCCCAACCCTCCCCCACCAGCAACACGCGGGCTTCCCTTCACCCAGTCTCCGGCTGCTGCACCAAAAATGGCACCTGCTCCAACATGTGGTCACCTTCCACACCTCAAACCTTCCAAAACGCATTCCCTCTCAAAACCCCGCCGCCTTCCATGCCCAAAATCCATATTTCGCCCCCCAAAAAAACGGGAAAACTCTACGTGGGCGAGATTCCCGGGAGGTGGGTGAAGGCGTGGTGGGCCGCCATAGGCCTACCTTCCCGCTCCCCACCGCTAACCTCCGCTCCCACGTGTCCTCTCCCACTATATCACAAAGTCCTTTACTACCTCCCTCCCCAAAACACCTTGCCGACACAATTAACCGCTTGCCTCGTGAAAAAAGCGCCAACGAAACAAAAACGGAAAAAATGATGAATTCACATCCACGCAACGGCTATGTCGGGACCGCCATTCGCCACTTGGGGTAAAATCCCATATTGGCTGTAATTACCGGGAGGGGGCGGGCAGCGAGGCCCAAATGTAGTGCACAAGAGGGTAAAGGAGTAGAGCGAAGACGGGCAGAGAAGAGTACTCACCGGAGTGTTACAGAGCGCGAATTGAGAGGAGTTGTGCCGTGCCGGTGTCGCCCGCCAAACAACGTGTCAAGCTCCCTACCAGCCTTTCAAACGCTGCCCTTGAGGGGGGGACCCCGCTGCTCCCCAGGATCGCCGGCCCCGCTCCCACGCACCGCCCTCACGCCCCTCATTACGCCCTTAACCCTCACTTACACCTCAAGTAAGCTGCATTAATTTGCAGTCTATTTCTATTTAATATTTTTAGCAGTGGTAAAATATTTTTATAGAGGAGTTTATAAAGATAGAGAAAGTGCTTTATGTTTTCTCCTGAAAAAGAGGACATTTTCTCCGCCCTCCTAGAAGAGAAGCAAACTTTTCAGCGGAGTAAAAATTGCCGATCACTCATTCTCATCTTATTTTTGAATAACCATAAAACTTTACTATTATATGAAAATATTTATTATTGGTTATATCATAAATTTTGAAATGCATACAAAAAAACTGAAAACACTCAGTTTGCTTCTATATAACTGAAATGAAGCTTTCAAAAAATTTAATATCATACATAGTTTTATTAGCTATTTATGACTCATTTCACACAGTAATAATTATTGTTAAAGAATATCTGATGTTTTTTATAATAATAATCTCTCTATAAGAATAATTGGCCAAGAATGCGTCAACGACGCGCTGAGGAACCCCTGAGCACCTGAATATTTTCCTCGGGCATGATTATACATTTTATTTATAATCTTAATTTGGTAAGAAATCCCATTTATCCGATCGTAGCTTCTGATATATAATATTTACATTAATTTATCTTATAAAATAGATGAGATTAGAATAGGGTATAAAAAGAAAAACGATGTGGATGTTATATCGATGGCGATCACGGTGAAGGGATCCGGGCGTCAGTAAGGCGTCATTTCTCGCCATTATTTCATCCACCACTAATATATTTCACCCACCAATCCGCACATATCGAATATTTTAACTAAAAAAAAAGTACGCCTAATTCCCCTCTAAAACGATGCTAAAAAAAGAGTTAAATCGAAAATGGATGAAAATAGGCCGCTTACCAATTTTGCTGTTAAATAGGTGAGGGAGGGAGCCCGTGCATGGCGGGTCTCGGCCCCACAACCATGGTCCGGGCGGCCCACGTGCTCACCCATCTACGCACTCCCACACCTCCTCTACCTCCCACTCTATTCCACATGCATCACTTATTAATTAATGTGAAGGTTTAAAGCTCTTGAATTATACGAGTTTCAGTATATTTGGTAAGGAAATTAATTTCCATAGGCCTATGTAACTATCCATATGGCAAGAGCCGCCATTATCATTAGTATTTCCATGCAGCCATATGTGTGTGTGTCCGGTCGATCACCCACCCAGTTACTGACCAGACCTATATAAGGCTCACAGGCCATTGGCCACTGAATTTCAGTTAAATTTGTCGGAATTTTAGTTGATATGGCAGTATTATATACATATATATATATATATATATATATATATATATATATATATATATATATATATATATATATATATATATATATATATATAGTGAGGATCCACAAGGTCTTCTCATTATTTTCTCAATATATATATATATATATATATATATATATATATATATATATATATATATATATATATATATATATATATATATATATATATATATATATATATATATATATATATATATATATATATATATATATATATATATATATATATATATACATATCCCAAAGGATACCTGATCAACCAGGCTGTGACTCATACGTCAGGCTGCGAGCAGCCGCGTCCAACAGCCTGGTTGATCAGTCCGGCAACCAGGAGGCCTGGTCGACGACCGGGCCGCGGGGACGCTAAGCCCCGGAAGCACCTCAAGGTGTATGTATATATATATATATATATACACACACACAATATACAATATTATATATATATGAGGATCCACACGGTCTTCTCAGAGTACTCTTTATTTTCTTCTCCGAGGCTATGGATCCCTACACTTGCACCACAGGTGGTACCCCTTTGTGAAAAAAAATAATAATTAAATTGAATAAAAAAACTTTGTATATACAGTACTGTATATTTCTGTATAGTCTCAACATATTTTTCCCTTCCTACAAATAACATGTTGACCCATGTTATTTTTTACTACATGCATAAACAAATTTCAGTAAAAAATAAGGTTACAACATACACTATCATTTTACAAAGATTAATTTTATTTACAATATACAGTATGTACAAGTATGATTTGTTATTAATGAACGTCTCATGTGTTTTGCATAAACAAGTACAGTACCTAATAGCCTCTACTAAGACTGCCACATGTTTGAGGTTAACCAGAAGCATCTGGAATCAATGTATTGTACAAACATCATCTAATCATATTTAGCCAAAGTGAGGCCCCACTTAAGACTATGTTGTTCAACCCTTTATCACTAATTACAGAGTGGACATTGATTTCCTCCGAGCAACTCTCACATAGGATAAGCAGACTAACTCTGGTGTTCAGGAGCTGCCGTATTAGGAGAGGTTGAGGGAGCTCAGCCAGCATTACCTGGAAAGGCCTAGGGTGAGGGGGAGACATGATCCAGGGGTTTAGGGAGCTCTCAGGTAAACTGTGGTAAGTGGATGAGGGATATCAACACGGGAAGGCTTCAAACTTTCACACACCAGACCAGGTCCATCTTATACCCATAGCATGGGCATAACATGGGTAAAAGATAGACTTCAGATTCAGGAAGGTTATGAAGTATTAATAATATATTATTATTATTATTATTATTATTATCATTTATTAGATTGCTGGCCACTGTCGTAGAGGCAAATGGTTATACAAGTGTTAAAACTAGGCTCGGTAGATATACAGGAGAAACGAGCTCGATTTAGACAGGCCTTGCCCAGAATAGGCTAACAACCTTTCTGAAGTGACTCCTACTTCTGATGTTCTTAATAACAACATGTAGCTTAATAATTAGATGTAAATGAACAATTTCACCCAAGGTCTGAGTAATAGCACTCGGTTATTAAACTTTAAACAATGGTGCATCCTTCTGCCAAGACATGAAACATCCCATAAACTAGTGGTTTCTGCTATGGTCACTTTTGCCAGTCCTTCATTGCTTATAATGTACATCAGACAAGCCAAGTCCACACTATAGGACTAACTGTGTGTGTTATTTTGATAATTACAGTACCGTACTTACATACATATATATATTTACATGCGACAAAATAAACTGACTACTGTACATCACCAAATACATCTAAAAAATAAAATGTCTGTGGCAGAACTGCCTTTAACCTAGCTTGAGGGCTTGGTTAGGTGCAAGCTATTACACTAACTACATTCAACATATCCAACCTTAACAAACCAACATTGTCAAATATTTGATTAAATAAATTAAAAATAACTTCACAACCCATATACATAATTAAAATAACTATGTACAGTTTTTATGGTACAGTACAGTAATTGCATCTGTTTTAGTAATCTATAAAACTGCATTTAATAATTTTGGGAAAAAGTGTTACCACAACCTGTACATACATGTAACAATAAGTATATCCATTAGTTTTCCAGTTTAAGCATAATATACAACCAATTTGATACCCCCAAGAAAATGGTTCCATTTCGTGGGGTGAGGAAGCATCAGCCTTGAGAAAAATGGGAAGTAATAAGGGAAAATATGGCACAAGACATTACAAAATAACACCTGTTAAATCACTGTATTTTCAACATTTCATAGTATCATGGAGCTACTAAAACCACAATCCAGAAAATCATCCACATAATCACTCCATTGCTTCGTAAGACTCAAGTGCTCCTTGCAAGTTCTAATATGCCTTCAACACAAAATGTCAAATGGAAGAATATGCCTGTTCTCTAAATCTCCTGTTAGCACTCGATCCCCCCTTCCTCTCACTCATTCACACACTGCCCATCTTTTAGATACTGCTCTTTCTCCTACCCTCAAATTAACCAAAAATACATGCACTAGCCTATCATCAACCTTTAATTCATCACCAAATCACCAAAATACACTCATAAATTGTGCCATTGACCACCTTTTGTGCTCCTTACATTCTTATTCCATACTTTTATCTATTCTAACATGGCATGTGCTTCTCTGACTGGTCATTTGTATACTGTTCCAATTGTTGAACTTCCACATTAATGCTACACTAGGATCTCACATCCCTGCAGAGCGTTTGGCACTACTGTATTGCTTTGACAGTGTCACTATCTATAGTGTTTTATCTAATGATAACTTTCATTACATAAGCAACTGTCTTGTCCTACAGCCACAGCTCGTTGACAATCAGACATATGGGAAATTGAAACTATAGAAAAATGGCATGAAAAACTACTCAAAAACTATGGTTCTCTAACATGAAAATTACTGCAGACTGCTATCAAGATAAATCTCTATATTCTAAAATTAAAAAGTTTCATGACATTTAAGGAAAAATATCCAATACATATTAAAGAATGCAATTGTTTTCACAAGAAAGTCCATTATAAAGTTAATGCTTCAAAAATATTAAACAAAATAATAGAATTACATTGCTATGAAAATATGTAACCCAAATAAAATGTATTTCTCACTGGATTTCTTAGCTGGCTTCATTGGTCTATAAATTACATTTACACAACAATTCCAAACTTCACTGCAAGAGGGAGTGTATACACACATAACCTTGTCTAAATTCATCCAAAATCCTTGAAGTTACTGTGAAAAAATTGAAACAAGATGGTGCCAAATAGGCAGTACAGTAGCCAGAATGGTTGGCAATCTTTTTTTTTTTTTTTTTGTAATCCAAGCTGAATGATGGGTCAAATCTATCAAATACATTTTATTTAGGGTAACCATGGGAAGGTGTGCTCCTTATAGATTTGGCAAATATATATACTGTACATGCATTATATAAAATCACAATCTTTTTAATTGAATATAATGAACAAAATTTACAATAACACCTTTAACATTCAGTAATATAAAACTGAGCTATAACAATTTCAAGCTATCTACATGTTGACAAATTTATCTTAGTACAGTACAATAGTTTCAAGTAATTATCAAAAGAAGGCGCCAAGCCAGAAAAACTACGTAACACAGTTTATCACACGAAAGTCAACAGGTAATGCAAGATTTAAATGATTCAGCTCTTACAGCTATTTTCATGGTTTGCAAAAATACATGCATGGACAGTAAATATGCAATTGTCCTGGACTGGAAGGTATCAGCATAACTGGAAGACCCAGGCCATATACACAGACTTTTTTGTAATATTGTACAGTACACAAATTCACACACACAATTCCTGAGGCGGGGGACAAAACGGTACAGCAGTAAATGCTTCTGCTTCAAACTGGGCTCTATCTTCCGGTTTTAATTGGTCTAAAGATGTGTACCAGTCTGCATGGTCGTTTGAAATTGCAGAGTGCATACGATTTTGAGTGCCTTCTGCGGGTCTTCCAAACAACCCAGGAGTTCCCTGACCTGTTGCAGGTTGTGCACCTTCAGCTGGTTTTCCAAATAATCCGGAATTAGTACTTGCTTCACTCGTATTTCCAAATGGAAGAGAAGGTTTGCCAAATGGCCCAGTTGTCTGTACATTACCAAAGATACCATTTCCTCTGCCAGATGCTGTATTTCCTCCAAATATACTCCCTGTGCCTTTTGGAGCACTACCTCCAAATACAGATCCAGGAGTACTACCACCAAAGGTGAATGGTGATGTATTTTGTACTGAATCACCTGATAATGGAGTGGCCTGACTGCCCCCAAAGATGCTCTGTCTACCAAACACCGAAGCAGGCTGCTGTTGCTGTTGTTGCTGTTGTTGTACTGGCTGCACACCAAATAATCCCTGCTGCTGCTGCTGTTGGCTTCCAAAAATACCTTGTCCTCCGCCTGCATGTGATGCTGCAGTTTGGGCTGTTCCCTGTGCTCCCTGAAAGACACTGCTTTGTGCATTAGCTGTTGTTCCTCCAAATATTGAAGGCTGATTCTGAGTGTTGCTATTAAATATACTACTTCCTGTACTCTGATTCTGTCCACCTCCAAAGATGCTAGTAGTCTGACCAACTGCAGTTGAGGTAGAACTACCTCCAAATATAGGCCCTGTACTTGTTTGACTCTGTGATGAAGAACCAAATAATCCAGTACTTGTTGAATTTTGAGAACTCTTGAACACATTATTGCTGGCCCCTCCAAATATACTTGGGGTTTGATTTACGAAGGGACTAGTATTCTGCACTCCAAGTGTCGGTTGCCCTCCAAAGACAGACTTGGTCGCTCCTCCACCAAATACTGATGTAGTTGTGGGCTGATTTCCTCCAAATACTGTAGAGGATCCTCCAAAGATTGAGGGTTGTGGTTTTGCTCCTAGAAGACCTGTTCCACTACCTGGTTGAGAAGTTACCCCAAACACGGTCTGTCCAGGTGGTTTACCAAATAAACTGGTTTGCTTTACTGGCTGCTGCTGCTGTTGCTCTTGTTGCTCTAGAGCACTCTTGGAATTGTACACGTCTCTCTAAAAAAAAAAAATTATTTAACAATAAGAAAAATATTCTATTGAAGCGGGCATTTTCTGCGATTATCTAATGGGTGGAAGTGATGGAGTGACAATGTGAACATGACTGTATTTGATGGTGCGAGAACAGTGCAAGATCATATGGCAGTTGGTATATTTATGGAAGATGTGAATACATCTGCAAAGCTGAAATGTGGAAAAGCTACAGGTGTTCTTGAGGTACTGCATATGCAGAAATTATTAAATGCTGTGGAGAATAAGGACTGGAATGAGTATGGATAATTTGCCAGAAAATGGAATAGTGGTAATGTGAGAAAGGATAACAAAACAGCAGTGACCGTATCCCTATACAAATAAAGGAGAACATAACGAGTGTAAGAATTATACAGTAAGTGTTGTGGGCAGTCTGTACTGCAGGATAATAATTGTAAAATTACAGGAAAATACAGGAAAATACAGAGAAATTGATCGATGATAAAGAAGGTGGGTTCTGGGGTGGAAATCTGTGTGTAAATCAGATATTTGCACCGAAACAGATTATAGACAAAGCATCTAAGAAAGACTAAAGTAGGGAGCCGGTTGGCCGAGTGGACAGCACGCTGGACTTGTGATCCTGTGGTCTTGGGTTCGAGCCCAGGCGCCGGCGAGAAACAATGAGCAGAGTTTCTTTCACCCTATGCCCCTGTTACTTAGCAGTAAAATAGGTACCTGGGAGTTAGTCAGCTGTCACGGGCTGCTTCCTGGGGGTGAAGGCCTGGTCGAGGACTCATCTCAAGATAACCTCAAGATAAAGTCTTACAGTCTAAAAAGTCTAAGGGCCTGACGGCTGAGTGGACAGCGCTCGGGGTTCATAGTCCCAAGGGTTCGGGTTCAATCCTCGGACCCCGAGAAAATTAGGATTAAGGACTTGCCCGAAATGCTACGCATGCTAGTGGCTGTACAAGAATGTAAGAACTCTTGTATATAAATAAATAAATAAATAAATAAATAAAAAAGAAAGTGTACACAAGACTTACTGTACTTGCAAAGCTAAGTTAATAGAGAAAAACTTTGGCAGTGTTCTAAAGTGCAGTGAAAAATTTCTATGTAGCAAAGTGAATGAGCAAAATTTAATAGTGTAAAGAGTGACCATTTTATGTTACTGTAATGCCAGGGTTATGCGATGTTACCTAGGCTATTCAATATACAATACACACCAGGAGGGAGGTCGAAGAAAATGTTGGAGAGCGATATAAATCTAGTACACAGACCAAATAGGAGTAATTGAAGTACAGTACTGCATATGAAATTTGATGAATGCAGATGATAAGAGGTAATTTTTAAATTTGATACTGATGCTCTTTCTTAGATAATTGAACTCGACATTACAGCTTTCTTAGAGACTAATGCATTACAAAGGCTGATAACAAACCATTGCCTGCACAGCTTCTTGAGTTGGCATCTTAAGTGCATCTCGCAGCAGCTTGTACATCTGTTGCATCTCAGTCCAATGAGCTTGCTGTAAGAATTAATGTATCACATCACATTTTGGAATTATTTATCCAATCTCAAAGCTTTTTAATAATGCTACTCATTTCTTATATTGTACTCGCAAGGAAATTTACTTTTACAAAATGCAGCGAATGAATAACTAATAATTCATTCCAAATTTATCTGCTAAGCAACAGCCTTGTTGAGTTATAGTGTGTAAAATGATCTGTGATTGCTAAAAACAATGCATCAACAGCAATTCTACTCATTAAAATATAACGTCTAAGATACTGTAAGGAGTACGTGTCAAAATAACCACACACCTAGATAACACTCACATAACTACTTGATGTATTTGTCTTCAGTGCTTCATATGCTTTTAGTCTAAATTCTTCAGGCGAATGATCGGAGAAGCCCGAGAGAGGAAGGCGAGCTTTCAGGGGAGCAAAGCACGACACCAGCCACTGACCACTACGTTCCCATTGATTCATCTCGCCACTCATTTGTTTTCTGGAAGGTAAAGCCTTAGAACATTACACATAAATAATATAAAAGAATGAAAATAAAAACTAATACTTGTCACTGGAAACCAAGGAGCTGCACATCAGAAGGTTCTGTATAGTCACTCCTTAAAAATTTAAAATATGCTGGAAACAGTATACCCAAAAACAATGAAGTAATTACCATCCTAAAACAATGACAAATTATTACGAGACAATGACAAACGTAAACCCTGAGGGAACAAAGTATCAAGATGTGCCAATTGACGAGTGTAAATCATGAGGCAACAAAGTAATAGACAACAACAGATAAATATATATATATATATCCAAAGAATCAAAGTATTAAGTTAAGAGATGCCTACTGATCAATGTACAGTAAATCTGCTTGGTGGTATAGAACAGTAATGTATACTGTTATCCTCAGCAGTTTTTTTTTTTTGAATATTTTTTTAACTAAGTTTAAAGGATTACAGTATGTATTTTCATTACACAGGCCTGAATTTTGCTACTATATTATGGCTTGTCTACCTATACATGCAAAGACTGAACCCGCCAGACTTTGTGGGGAAAACCACCAGAATGGTTCAACAGATAGGAAGGTGGACTCAGCAAATTGTTGTGGAGCACAACCAGGGCACAGTGAGACACGTAGGACACTGCTGGTTATCCACTGCATCCTAACCCATCTCCTGTCGTCTCGACTTATCTTGCTGGTGGAACCAAATAGGCCGGAATGAGAGAGTGAGGCTGACAATTTATGCAACTCTCCCTCACTTTAAGTCAATCGCAAGTCGTGACTTTAACCCATACACTGAAGTCATGATCATCTTCAACAATGAAGTACGAACATCATCATTACATCTATATACATACTGAATTGTGTATACAGCATATAAAGTATTTTATCTCGTATCCAAACATTGGTTATTTATTCCAACTGGTTACCTGCATAATGTAATCAAAGATGTGATGCATCTGTGAGAACATATGCCTTCAATATTTATATGCCTGCCTGCATAAAGTTGTCCAGTTGGTGGATCCATCTGAAACATAGTTACCCAGTTAAGCTCATAACAGTTCTCAGATTTACCATGAGAGGCCGACCTTTCACAGCTAGCTACCTTGTGATGCAGATTTTGAGTCATTACCTCCCTTTGTATCACTGGATGTATTGCCAAAAATATATAACATCCCTCCTTTATGTCAGCTCATTTTTGTCTATAGGCAGAATGCCTAACTCCCTTCAGGAAGTGCCCCCCCCCCTCCAGGTGAGGAACACAAGAATGAGTGGGTACACAGGAGGAGGTTGGAAACAG